CCTCAATGGTCAAACTATCTAAATATACTTATTTCTCATGCTCAATTGACATAAATAGTTTAATATACTTCTCACAATGAAAAATTAAAAATAATTAAACTGGATTAAAAATGTTAAATATGTATAATCCTTATTATTTGTTTGTCTATTTTTTTTATTTTTCACCCAGAGAAAGAGTATATATATTTGTCAAAGTGCCAAATAAATATTTATTTGTGCTAAATAAAATTTTTTATTTAAGACAAATAAAACTTTATTAGACAAATTAATTTTTATTTGATTATTCAAATAAATTCTATTTGTCTCTAATAAATGCAAGTAAAAAATTTCTCTGGGTATATGCCTTAAAAATTATTTTTGTGTTGAAAAATATTTATTTTAAAAAATTTTCATTAAATGCGTTATTTTATTTTTTTGTTTTTTTTAAACGATACTGAACTACGCAACGTTTATGATAAACGATTTTTAAAGAAATAATTTGTTGCCTGAAAAATATTTCTTGTAGTTTTTATTAATCAATAAATTATAAAAAATATTTTTTTAGGTAAATAATTTTATAATTTTCCGTGTTAAATAAAAATTGATTTCTATAATCGTTGATCAAAAACGTTGTATACTTCGTCAATATCATTGTAGTTCGTCATAAAAAGAAATATTTTGTATCTCGAATTGCTAATATCATTTTTCGTTTTCCAGTATAAATTTTCCCCTCTTGAATAATAATTTCATTGAGAGGAATGTTAAATTGATGATGTAATGGACGAGAATATATTGTTAGAGAACATTCATCATTAACATCGAAAGAGGGAAGAGAAAAACTGAATAAATTGGAAAGTATCTTATGTAATGCATTAAGAATTAAAGAGCTTCTTATCAATAGAAATAGAAAATTATTATTATTATTTTTTTAAAGCTGAAGATTCAGATGGCTAAACTCTTTCATATGTCAAGATAATAAGACTTCTTTATCTTTCTGCATAAACCTATTTGAGATTAGAATCATTAAAAATGAACTCTTCATACCATTATACCAGATAATCCTGGCTTTTTACTTTAAAATTTAAAATTTTCCTCTAGTATATATTTGCAGTAATTATAGTTTTAAAAAACATCAGCGGATTAATTTGCAAAATGTTGACTTTTTAGGTCAAGTATTTTAAAGCACAATTTTCTTTTTTTTTAATTGCAATTTTTTATGTTTTTTGAAATTTAAAAAGATTGATATATTTTTAACTTTGAATATTGAAAAAATGTAGTTCATAATGTTGTTTTCTTCTAGTAGAATTTAATTCAGAAAAAAATTAGGTTTAAATAAATAATTTTTGAGTTAGACATTTTTAATAAATTTTATGAGTTTAAATTTTGATTATTAATCTATTATTCAAAAATTTTTTTTAATATAATATAGAGTGAGCAATATTTCATGAATTTATTTAAAGAAGAAAAAAAATTTTGTATACACCTTTCTGCTTGCGATTGAAAATTTTTTAATTTCATCTTTAAAAAATTTGCCGAAAATAAAAATATAATTTTCATAAATCAGACTTGAAAGTTTTTTTTTAACAAAAAAAAGACTGCTAAATTTTTTAAAATATCCGTTTTACTGAATTGTTGCTTGAAAATTTGTCAAAGAATTATTTTTTTATGAATGAAATTAATTTATTATTTAAGGCGGTTCAACTCCTTGAAATAATCTCAAACTAAAAAATTTATTTTCACAGAAAAAACCTGAATTCAAATTGAGTATAGATTCTATACTCAATTTGATTCGCAACAAAAATGAAACTGGTTGTCTCATTTCGAGTTCTAAGGTAAAAGTATCAAAATGAAACAGGAAAGTTTCATTTTGAGAAAAAGAAAAATGGAAAAATATTGTGAAATAACGAATAATTTTGCACAAAAACATGAAATATAATAATTACAAAGAAGTAAATAACACGCTAGACTTAATATATTTGATTAAAAATTGCTTGTAATCGCGTAATAAAATAATAAAGGAAATATGTTTTTAGGTTAGAAAAATGAAAACATGTGTTTTGACAACAGGAACGGTACTGCCAACTTAAATAATAGCGGTAAATTTAAAAACTTATGAAATTAATTATTATCTACGTAAATAATAATAAATAATTTTTATTTAAAAACTTCTAAATATTCGTACTGGTCAAAATAATCTTTCTGGTGTTGTTGAAATATTAGAAACAATAATTGAAATACAAAATTACTCTGCTTATGATGCCAACTTAGAAATCTGAAATTCCAGCCAATATCATTTTGAATAACATGAAGTTTGTCCCATACTCATTTCGATACCCAAAAGAAAATGAGTTGCAACAAAAATGAGTCCAAGTTTTTTCTGTGTTATCACCAAATCAAAGTTTATAATTAAAATTAATTTTACTAAATATTAAAAGATTTATTTGTACAATTTTCAAAAAAAAAATGTAAATTTTTTGGCCTAAAATTTCTTATTAAACTCTCTAAATCTGAATAAGTGAAATTTCACTTAAAATGTGTCAAAAGTCTTCCACGTAGAAAAATAAGTGTATATGCACTTAAAAATAAGTGAAACTTCACTTATTTTTGAGTGAAAACCACTTATTTAAAAGTGCATATACACTTATTTTTCTACGTGGAAGACTTTTGACACATTTTAAGTGAAATTTCACTTATTCAGATTTAGAGAGAATAATAATTATTTAACATTTTTGTCTTTTTTGTTCAAAGTTGAGGGAAAATTGTAATTTTTATTCAATTTTTAAAAATAAAAGTTCATTTTGCTCTTTGAAAGATTCTCTATACAATTCCTGTTTGTTTTGTTAAATAATAATATTTTGTTTAAAAAATATAAAAATCTATTTATTCAATAAGTTTTGAAAAAAAATTATTAACAAAATTCAACAAACAAAATTGTAGGGAATCTTTTAATATGAATAAAATAATCTATTGTTTGTAAAAATTGGATGAAAATAAAAATTTTTGTTACTAACTTTAAACGAAAAATACAAAAAAAAAAAAAAAAAAACTTAAATAATGATTAAAAAGTTTTGATAAATAAATTTTTTTTAACTCAATTAAATTTATTTTGAAAAAAATTACGATTTTTTTCGACTTTTCTTTATATTATTTAATGAGACTTTTTTTGCGTCTTAAAGTTGATTCAAAGCAACAACAATAGAGGTATCATAATAAGACATTATTATTTTATAATAATAATAACTTTCTTTTTGTCGAAAGATTTTATTTTTAAATTTAGAATCAAATTCTTCTTATCAAATAAAATTCAAAATAATTGAATAATAAGTTGATGGCAAAAAATAGGTCAAATGTTTATTGAATCTTAAAAAATTTGTAAGTTTGACGAAGGCTATTTTCATCGATTTAATTCTGTCGACGTATGTTATGTGCACAGTGTACGTGTTAAGTATAACAGTAGCTTTATAGCCCATAATGACGTCAACGGTGTTCAATCAAAGCTTACATTACCGATTCATCAGAGATTCTCATTCAATCTAATGCGACACAAAATTTAATCTTGTATTATTATTATTATTATTATTATCATTATTATTATCGATATATACTATATATAAGAGTTCGATACTAGACCACTCATTAATAATTCCCTTTGGAATTTGTCACATTAACTTTTATAATTTTATTGCTCTTTCACTTCACAATTTCCAATTACTGAACTTTCTACCAACATTAATTTTCCTTCTTTTTTTTTCCTCTATTTTTTCCTAAAAGAAATATACTGTAAAGGGAAATTAAATAATGGAAAAAGATCGTTCTAGGTCATCAGAAAATTCACTTTGGAAAAAATTATATTTTTAAGAAAAAAGAAATCTTATATTTCATTTCGAGAGAGAAATTACAAATTTTATTAATTTTTGATCTATTTTTTTAAATTAAAATACTGAAATTTATGATCAAAAATTAGAAAACAAATTATTTTTTGAGATGGAAAATAATAAAAAAATGTTTTTTTTTTTTTTTAATAATTGATCAATAAACATTATTTAGAAAATAAAATTTTTCATTTAGAAAAAAAATATTTCTTTAAAAATCGTTAATCATATAAAACTTCATCATTGTGGAAATTAAATGTTTTATTTGAATCGAAATAACTGCTCTTCAAATGCAATTATTGAATTTAGAAAACAGAGATATTAATAATTTCAAATTGAAATCAAATCCCCAAAGGTTTAATATAGTGAGATTATCGGCATTTAATAGTTTGACATTATGCATATGGGTTACATATACGTCATCAATTACAGTCCTCTGGATGTTACAAATTATTATATGTATATAGTATTATTGTGTTAAGAATGAAGACCAGTTGAAATTGACATTCATTTCTTGATTAACTCCGCAGTGACTGTTCATCTTGAATAAAGAGAAGATATTCGATTCTTTGATCTCGATACCATTTTTCTCAAAGAACATTTCTTGGACTATGAGAAACCTGTTTCGAAATACATCGTCGACGTGAAGTGTCAGTTATATGTAACACTTAAAGAAGAGAGCTTAGATCCTAAGGTTTTCTTTTTTTTCTGTTTTTTTTTTTTTTTTCTTTCTTTTCACTTGGCAAGCCCTTCGAGCCACGCGACATTGATCGATATTGTGCGACACCTCACCGGACGGTTCATTGAACGTTCTTGTCCATTCTGTTTATTCTTCTCGACTTGAAAAAGAAAAAAAACAGTTTTAAGCTATGCGCAAGGTGATCCATTTTACCATACAGCAAAATTAATTTGACATTTTGTTCTGACAGTGTTTTATTCTTTGACTTTTTTAGAATTTTTTTTTTTTTTATTTTCAAATTGGAACAGAGAAAAAAAAAGAAATCGTTCGATTTGAATAATCATTTTTTATTTTTAAAAATGCTGAAAATAAAAGTTTCACTTTTTAGTGGTTGGAAGAATTAAATTTAGAAATTCGCGATTTTGAGAAATGAATGTTAAGTGGAACTTTGTTTTTTCTTTTTGTTACAGTGGAAAAGTTCGGCATCCGAATTTTCGGATTCTGAGGAGTCAAATGACTTGGAGGCGACTCTAAGTACCGATTTATACGTGATGGACAACGAGGACGGAGCTGGAAAGCAGCAAAGAGCTACACGTGTCTTTAAAAAATCCAGTCCAAATGGCAAAATTACTGTTTACATTGGGAAAAGAGATTTTGTGGATCACATAACCAGCGTTGATCCAATTGGTGAGTTCGATGACATTGTTAATATTTTAATTTTTTTTTTCTCTGAATTCAGAATTTTTTTTTTTTTTTTTGCACTGTATTTTCTCAAAATTTTCAAAAATTTATTTACAAATTTCCAATTTTTCACAAATATTAGAATTATATTCTGAATTTATATGAAGAACTTTCAACAATATTTTAAAACATTTAAATGATCAACAATTTAGACGAAAAAGTATTTTTCTATACAAATAATAATTATAATTTTTTGTTTGAAAAAAAATTTTTTTATTTTTCCGTGTAGAAAATATTTTTTTATTTTCAATATCATTGATCATTTAAACGTTCTAAACTTTACTGACGTCAATTTTTATTAAAAATTTGAATTTGACATTTCGATTTTTTTTAAATTAAAAGTTTTAAAAATTAAATTATTAAATTTTAACGTTAAAATTTTTTTTTAAATTCAAAATTGACCAAAAATTGTGAAAAAAAATTTTTGAATTGATTTTTTTTTTTAAAAAAAGCAATTTCTCTAAAATTGAAAGTCATTTTATAATTTTATAATTTTCACTACTAAATATATACGAGGACAAAAATGGACCAAATAATATTATTTATAAATTTATAAATATTAATAATTTTCAAAATTTTTCCAAAAATGTAGTATATAAATGTAATATAAATTAACGTTTATAATAATTTTTATTTTTTAAAATCAGTCCCAAAATTTTTTTTTCGCAATTTGAGGCTAAATTCCGATCTTTTCAAATGGTTTTTTTTTTAAATAATTAAATTTTATTAAATTGCAAAATAATTGTACTTTATTATAATTTAATTTGCATAACAACTAAAAAATTATTGAATTTATAAAAAAAAATTAGAATTTTAATTGAATTAAATTTAAAATAATAATAATTGATTTTGAAATAAATTTATTTATATGTTTAAAAATCAATTTGAAAACCTACTAAAAAGGTTTACATGGAATATGTAAATAAATAATAATAAACATAATAATTTGATTTTTGAAAATAATTGAATTGAAAAATATTATTAAATTGTCAAAAAATTGAATTTTTAAAAAACATTTTTTTATTGTTTATGAATTAATTGTATAAATTAATTTCTAAATTTTTTCAAATTGGAAAAAAGATAAACTTTTTAAAAATAAAATTTTGAAAAAATAAAAATAATAAATAAATAAATAATAATAAATAATTATTATTTGGGTCAATTAAATGATATTTGTTTCAAATACAGAGATTATTGGTTTAAATACAGTTTTAATTCAAATAAATATTATTTTGTATATATATATTTTTTTATATTTATAATTATGACAAGTTTTATTAAATATTTAATACTTTTTTGAAATTATTTGTCTCTTTTATATAATAAAACAAATTCTCATTTTTAATTCAAATTTATATTTATTTTTATTTATTTATTCTACATAGTTTTTGCCTTCAAGCTTAGAATGTGCCTCCGGCACAATTTTTTTTCATACATCTCAATTTTAATAAAAGTAAATAGCAAAAAGTAAATTATGATTCACAAAATTATAAAATAAATTCAAATTGATATAACATTTATATTGAATAATAATTTTCGGACCTGAAAAAATATCATGGAAAACTCATGTTGAATTTTTTGCAAAATAAAAAATTTATAAAAATCCTGTGTATGAATTCTTTGCATTTTTTTTTGATTTTAGATGGAGTTGTACTAATAGATCCTGATTATGTAAAGGATCGAAAGGTATTTGGCCATGTTTTGGCCATGTTTAAATATGGAAGGGAGGATTTGGACGTTTTGGGTCTTTCGTTCAAGAAGGATCTTTATGTTGCTGTCGATCAAATTTATCCAGTTGTCTCTACAACCGAACCACCGAGACCATTGACGAGGTTGCAAGATCGTCTTCTTAGGAAATTAGGAATTAATGCATATCCCTTTTATTTTGAATTACCACCACATTATCCAGCCTCTGTCACGCTACAACCCGCACCAGGTGACACTGGTAAACCATGTGGCGTTGATTATGAATTAATGGCTTTTGTTGGGGAATCGCAAGATTGCAAAATAAAACCACGGTAAGAATAAACAATGAATCCAAACTTATATGAAAAGTAATTATTGAAATGTAATCAATTAATGTTGCATTTATGAATTCTTTTGTTATTTATAAATTTTTTTTTTATTTTGTAGTTATTTTTTTACAAAAAAATCTTTTCTAAAAAATCAGAATAATTTTTTTTTTTAATCGATACAATTTTTTTTTTTTTTTTTGTTATTTTTCATTGGATTTTTTTTTTGTTATAAAGTATTTTAAAATTGAAACACATTAATATGCATCAAACCCCAAAGGCCTTATTCTGTTATCATTCTACTGCCTTGCCGTGTTAAATTACGCTTGATTTTATGAGTGGCACAGAAACTTCAATGAAGGGAACTCGCGATGACGGTAAAGATATGAAATTATTCCTAGAATCAAAAGTATATTTTTCTGTTATTACAATATAATAATTTATTCGTTCGTGAATTTAAATCATTATTTTTCTTTTGTTTAATTAAAATTTTTTTTTTCAATTTGATGAGATGATCAAATTTTTAACACACAAAATTTCCAGAGAGATGGAATATCAAACAAAAATTTTTTTAATTACTTGTTTCACTAAATGGCATAAAAGAAATATGTAATAATAATGAACGGATATTTTATCTGTTTTTTTTTATTTCTTTCAGCAACTCGGTAAAACTTGCAATACGAAAAATAATGTACGCTCCGTCCAGACAAGGTGAACAGCCATCGACCGAAGTTAGCAGAGAATTTTTAATGTCGCCAAGCAGGTTACATATGGAGGTATCACTCGATAAGGAGCTCTATCATCATGGTGAAACAATTTCTGTTAATGTTTACATTGCTAATAACAGCAATCGAACTGTGAAAAAAATTAAGGTGTCAGTGAGACAAATCGCCGACATTTGTCTTTTTTCCACGGCGACCTACAAATGTACTGTTGCGGAAGTTGAAAGCGAGTGAGTATATTTTTTTATTCTTTTCATACCTCGGATAATTTCCAATATCAAGGCGATAATTATATTTAAAAAAAAATTACTATTCTTTTTTTTTAATTTTCGTATTTAAAAAATTAATAATAATTTTTTATTTAATTAATTTTAATAGATAATTTTATCACACGATAATATTAATCAGAATTAATTTTTTTTTTCATATTATAAAATTAATTTTTATTCTGTTTCTTTTGAATCGTATTTTTTTTCATATTTACTCAATTTATCAATGAATTTAACGCAAGAAATTATAATCAATTTTTATGGTATCAAGGGAAATATATATGTATACATATATATATTTTATATATATCCAATAAAAAAAGTATAGCTCGAGAAACATAAAAGAATCAGAAGGGTCAAGTAGAGAATTTTCTCTTAAATATTAGAGTTATATTCTACACATTTCCGAGATATTAGAGAGTTGAAAGAAAAATTGTCAAGGGGATAGATCAGGATATAATATCGTGAAATTGGATATCAAAACTAAATACACTTCAAGGTTTAAAAGTGAATGGATAATAATACTTCCTCTTAAAATGAGAAAATGCTACCGTTAATAAATTATTATTATTGTTGTTATTATTATTATTGTTATATAAATTGAAGCTACTGAAGCTTTAAACTTTCAAAATTGCAACTAACGAGATTGAAAATAATAACGAGAGTTTTAAGTTTCTAGAAAGAAAATAATTAAAAATAAAATTTCCTGAACGAAATGAGTTTATAAGGAAATTGAGATGATGAAAATAGATGAATTCAGTTGTTAAAGTTGCGTTTCTGAAAGAAACTTTATATTTAATCATGGTTCAACATTGTTTTTAGATAGTTTCATTAAAAATTAAATTCAAAGTTTATTGGACAATATATATTAATATTGAAGAATTATTAGATGTAATGAATATTTTTATATAAATTTTTAAAAAATTCAGTCGTTTTTTATAGTCTTTTAAATTAAAATTAAAATTTGGATTACTTTTTAATGATGTGAATAATTCATCTTTAATTAATTTTCAAATTATTGATTAATATTGATACTTACACTATCCAATTAGTGGTTATATTGTTACACAATTATAATTTACATCTCGCAAACTTTATAATTAAACCAAAGATTCGAATGATTATTGTTATTAATTATTTTCTGATAACATATTAAATTAATAATTCTGCATCAATTTTGTTTTCAATATATTGTAATAATTATATTAAAAATTATTGGGAAATTTAATTGCTATACAAATTAGAAATTAATTTTTTATCACTGAAACGCATAAAAAACGTTACATTTTTTAATTAAAGGATCAATATAAGAAAGAATTATTAATTTAAAAAAGAAAAAATTACAATGGCGAAATTTTAATTGAAAAATTGATTTAAACAGACCTCTACAATATTAATTTGTATGAACTGTAAAAATATTTCGTAAAAATGTTAAAGCTTATTTAGCGAAGAAAGTTCGTTTGTTTAAAATTTTTTTTTTTTGCGAGAAAAATCAACTTTTCCCAACTGAAAACAGAACAATGCCAGGTAAAAAAAAAATGAATAAAATATACGTGAAAAAAATGTTTAATTAGAAATTAATTTTAAATTCTATCAAGGTTAAAAATGAAAATGAGTTTAAAAAAAGAAAATTGTTGCCAATGTAAATTCTTGGAAGATAGGTACAGAGAGAAATTCTGTAAAATACACATATCAAAGTAAACTAAATAAGTCACGCTCTGTTTTTATTGGAGGGTTTCATTAACAAAAAAGAAAAAGAAAGAAAGTAATCTAGGGAAAAAGAAGTAAAAGATTAAACATTGTTTAAGAGAGTATCGCCACTGTTACGAGGTAGAAAAAAAAGGTATAAAAAGAAAAAATGTTGTGATACAGCGAGGAGAAAATAAAATGATTGATTGGCAGTATAGGGGTAGCGCCAGGATTCACCTTGAGCAAGGTCTTTTTTCTAAAGCCGACTCTTGCCGACAACAAGGACAAACGGGGTCTTGCCCTAGACGGGCAACTTAAACACGAAGACACCAATCTCGCCTCTAGCACCATGTGAGTGCTCCAACATTAGGCACAAATTGTTGGGTTCTACTATATATATAAGAGTGGAAATTGGAAACGGGTCGAGCGGCTCTCCGCAATAGGTTTAGCACGCTATTCGCCGGATTATTGCCGCAAAAAGAAATGTGTGCGGATTTTAACCGAAACACTAAAGCTGTCCGACGAAAAATCGATGCCAAAAAATTCTTGCCAACATTTTTTTTTTTTTTTTTTTTTTTTTTTTTTTTTTTTCGTTTAAAAAAGAATTCTAAAAGTAGAATGTGATAAATAATTTTAGCCGATTAAAACGTAATTTTTATTTTAATCACGTTATATCAAGCATATTTTTTGCCAATAATTATATTATTAATATCGGTATAAATGAAAATCGATTTCAAATGGAATTTAATTTTTTTTCAATTATCAACACAGACGATTATTAATAATTACAAATTAATAATATTTTTATTCAAATTCAATAAATTGAAGAATATTTTTTAAAAATTATTTTCTTTTTTTAATTCATTAAGTTATTCAGTTCAGTTATTTTTTTCAATTCAATAAAAATTTTTATTGTTTTATAAAATTTAATTTTTCATAATTAACTATTTTGTGAATTTAATGTCAAAGGTTTATCATTTTATTTCTTTTTTTCTAAATTCAACAAATAGGGTGAAGGAACCAATTATTTTTATACATTATATTTTATATTTACAACACATATTATAAACATAATATTTATCATTATTTACATTTACAATGTGATTCAATGTAAAAAATAAAATTTGTTTACTCGACAAATGGTACATCCTCGACAATTGGTGCCTTTACTTTATTCTAAAAAAATTCTTTTGAATAAATCATACAATTAATTGCTTAACAATAAAAAATACAATAAATTCAAAACATTTAATTGTTTTAGTAAATTCAATTTTTTAATATTATTATAAATTATCATTAGTCAAAAAATTAAATTTTTTAGTTTTTATATTTTATTTTCAATTTTTAGATATTTATTTTCAATTATTTTGTGAATTGAATTATATATAAAGTTAGAAATCTTTCGTAAATTTCATGCAAGAGATATTTGTTTTAAAAAAAATACTTTTCAACAATTTTTAGTTCAAAAAATAGTTTTCAAACTGATTACACGTATATTAGGTTTTCTCAATAATTAACGTGTCTAAAGTTCTGAACATTGAAATGAACGTAAAATTTGTTTACTACTTTTTTAACATCAAATTTGATGAAGTTTATTACTTTTGGCATATGAAAATAAATAAATAATTTATTGAATGTTTATTAATTTTTATTGATCAAGTAACTCAAAGAAATTTTATATTTTCATAATAATTGATTTTGAAAATAATTATATTGAAAAACAATTAGGTATATTTTATAATATTAGAATTTTTTTTCATAATCGTATGTTATTGGTAATTTTTAATTTGTTCTAAAAAAAAAAAATTTTGCTACATTAAAAAGAAATGTTAAACTTTTTAATAATGTTATGGTTTCTAATTTTGAAAAATATGATATTGCTGCTTATGTTGAATTTATATTATGTTGAAAATAAAATTTTGTTATTAATTTTATTCCAAATTAAATTTCAAGAATCTTTTATCACGAAATAGTTTTAAAAGATTTTTATCATCAATTTTTTTTTAAATTATATCAAATATTTTAAAAAGAAATAATACACTGTACAAAAAAAAACAGAAAAATTGTAAAGAAAAAAGTTTTGAAAGGAAAAGGCATATAAAGTTTTAGAAAGCATAAATAAAATATAAGTTTAAGAGAAAAGAAGTTTCTAAAGATTTTTGTTGGAGAAATTTCAATTTTATTGAATTCTCACACTTCTTCTTTATTGCGCGGGCAATTGAATGAAAATGGTTTTTATGCGAATTTAAAAGAGTTCATCGATCCTTTTCCAATATTCGCTCTCAATAATGAAAAGAAAAGTAACAATGTAACATATTGGTGGTTGGAATGTTTTTTTGTGGTTTTTTTTTTCTTGTTTTTGTTTTTGGAGTTTTTTTAACAAAACGGTGGTCTGTAAATATATCCTATATATATATTTAGATATGGAACTCGGTCGGTGATGGTTTTCCCTTTTCCTTGTCGACATTTCTTGATTTGTTCTCTCTCTCTCTCTCTCCCTCTTTTTCTCTCTTTTACTCTTGTCCATTCGCGAATTTCCTACTATTATCACCTTTTGTTTTACTCGTGCCTCTCTTTCTCTGCGATAAGATGCACAATGTATATTACAGCACTGAAGACATATTCGCCAAGCCCAGAAGTATTTTCCGTAGTTATCAGTGTGTAGCTATATAACAGTGTTTACCTTTTGTATATTCCATTCTATAGATAATATCGCATATATATTGTCTTCGCACTGATATTGTTTTTGTTACTTTAAAAAAAAAAAAAAAAAAAAAAAAAACTTTTACAATTACTTCAAGGAAAAGAAAATCAATTTACTGAATGGAAAAAATTTGTAATTTTTTCCAGAAATATCTAATATTTTTGCAAATATTGTAAATAGTAATTTATAAATAATAATTAACATTATAGGAATAATATTTTATTTAGATGTAAATAATTTACTATTTTTTTATTTTTTACATTTCTTATTACTTAAATCATTTTTTTTTAACTGGGGGTTTTTTTAAAAGTTTTTTCATCCAGTTTTATAATTAGGATTTCGATAATATTCGAAGAAATATGCGGATTTAGATAAGTAAAGAGCTTCTGCTCTTTTTTTCTCAATCAAAGTTAACGAATGTCGCGTTGATTCGAAAAGTTTTATCGAAATGGAATAAGTATTAAAATGAAAGTTGGTAAATCATTTTCTCAACTTTCATTACAGGAAAATAAAATCCCCTACGATTTATTTCTCTGGGGTGAAACCTTACTATTTAAATAATCATTCGGCAAAAGTCGATATTTATTATTCCAATTGTATTTCTTATCCTAATGAAAGTAACTTTATATCACCAGAAAAATTTCATTTGGGAAAATATCGTTGATTAAACGGAAAAAACTGTTTTTTTTCACGCTCATGAAATATTTATATATATTTCTGTTTTTGTAAAAAAATAAAATAAAATATTGCAGAGTTTCTTGTTAATGAGAATGAAATGAATATTAAATTTTTCTATTAATAAAATAAGTGTATGAAAAGAATTAATTGAGACAAAACGAGAATTGTCAAGTTTTTTAGATATAATATATGGTTTATCACATATAGAGGAGTAAAATTTTGGTTTTTAGATGATAATTTCTGACTAGTCAATTACGGAATAGTGAAAAATTATGAATATTGTAGTGGAAAAAGTTTTTTTTTTTTAAAAAATCGTATTGTGACTTTGATGTTTGTTAGGGAGGGTTGCCCAGTTGGTCCAGGATTCACGCTGAGCAAAGTGTTTTCCCTGAGACCTCTTCTTGCCAACAACAAAAACAAATTTGGGCTTGCCCTCGACGGCCAGCTCAAGCACGAAGACACCAATTTGGCGTCCAGCACGCTGTAAGATTGTTCATTCGATTCAAATCTATATCAGTTATATTCTAAATGCCAGATTTCAATCTGAATTTCTAATTTTCTCAGCTTCCGTTTCTTATGGGAATTATTTTTATTATTATTTTTATTATTATTATTATTATTATTATTATTATTATTATTATTATTCTACATTTTAATAAAAAGTCTGCATCAACAATTTTGTATCATTAAAAAAGTTTTCTTCAAAAATTTACATACTAAAAAGAAAATAATTTAATTTTGAAATCATACAACTTTATTTCTATTGATTTTGATAATAGAATAATTTTTTTCAAAACAGAAATATTCCAGTAGACTAAAATTATATTTTTATAATTTATTTTTAAAAATAAATTTATCTAATAATATTGATTTATAATTAACATTCATATTTATTTATAATGCTTTTATAAAAATACATTATTTTTTTTAAATTTAAAATGTGTATTAAAATTTTTTGAAATGATTATGTAAAGTCGTTTGGGGTTGTAAAATGCATGGACTACATTACCGCACTCTCTTTAGAGGTTTAAATATTATATATCTGTTGGCTGATGGGTTCTTAGTTTTCTTATTAGCATATCAAAAATTCTTTTCGAAATCTCTGTTTTGAATTTCACTCCAATTTGTAACACTATATTATATACTTTTATATATAAAGCAATTTGTTTCTTTTGAAAATATTTTCTATTTTAAATATCTATGGAAATTGACATTTAATTTGAAATCATTTTAATATTAAAATAAACATTTTCTTCTCAATAATACAAAATGGAAGATGCATGATACCTTCAAATGTAGAATAGTAGGAATAGAATATTCAAGTAGGGTTACGGTTAAAAATAGAATAAAAAATAAGTGACAAAAGAAATAATATCAAAGTATAGTGAAAATAATAATATTATAATATAATAAAAGTTACAAAATAATAGTAGAAATAGAAACAAAATTCTAAAAAAAAACTGTAATTAGAATAAAAATTTCTTTAACCCCTTCGCAGTGTAGCAAAAATAAAGCTTCAGTGTCCCGTATGTGGGAAAAAAATTTTTTTTTTTTTAAATTGATATTAAAAAAAACCCGAAAATCTAAGAATACCCATTGACAAGTTTATTGTATTGTTAAAATAATGAAGTAAACGATTATTAAAATAATGAAGTAAACTATCGATAATTTATCATATTTTGTGTCTACTTATTTTTTTTGAGATGCCGCTATAGCGGTCATGCACACTGGTGGCACGACATTTTTATGCCTCTATAGAGGTCAATAACAGTGAAGGGGTTAAAAGTAGGATAATTTTTTTTTCCATCTCACATTTTAGACAAAATCGTAACCCTGACGAATTCTCAAAAAATTATAATCATGTGCCATGCACGTTAAATTAAAAAAATTATTTACTAATTCTGGATTCTTCATCTCGCATATTTCAACTTTTAATAAAATGTATTAGAAAATTTTTACATTTTCCTTTTTCTAAAAATACAAATGTTTTCCTTTAAATATATTTGTATTTTTAAAAATAGTTTTAGTTCTTTTTTAATTTATTTATATAATTATGTTTTAAATAGAATCATTGACACATAAAGCTGACATTATCAAATAAATTTACTATTCAACAAATAAAATATGATTTGTGCCAATGAATAAAATAGAAAAAATTACATGTCTGAAAAAGAGCAGATATTATAAAGTAATAGAAGGTTTTAAATTCACCACGTGATATTGGATGAAGAAATTGGAAATACACATTTTGCATCTACTCTCATTTAATGATTTGAATTATAAAGATTCCAGTGAAAAGTTTCATTCACAGAAAATTCACTTTAATCTTTCTCATAATTTACATATTTTTTAAAAAAGAGATTCACAATATTACAAAGAATTCGATTAAAATATAATGAAGTTCAATAAAAATATTGATAATAAGAAGTTTTATAATAAAGTAAAAAATATTCAAGTGAAAAACTTTTCACGTAAATCTTTTAGATTTCTATTTACATATTTCATATTTTCATCTTTTTTTCCACCTGTCATGAATATAGTTGAAAAAAATTGAAAGCATTAAGTTCTCAAAGTGAATCGTTTGCAACAACTCATATTATTACATACTTCAGGGTCAGTTCACTGACTTTCGTCTAATAGTGGTTGCGACCAAACTTTAAAAAAATCTAATTTTAATATATATGAAACTCGATGATTCCCTGAGTTCATTAACCATAATATTATGGTAAAAATTTTATTCCCTTTAAAAATATTAATTATCAAAAGTAGGAGGTTCACAATGTGATTTTGTAACCTTAAATTTTTCAATTATTAAAAATTAGATGTTGGAACTCACAAAAAACATAAATCACTTTATTCTGCACAGAGGAACGAAAGAATTATTGCAAAAATTTATTATTTTTGGATGATATACGATTTTAAAAAAAATTTTATTTAAATATTCTCAAGATTTTTATTTATACTTATAACTTTTTTGTCGGTGCTCCAAAAAAATTGAGGTTTTTTTTTTGCATCGTTTTGGAGATATTAATTTTCAAAATTTTTTATTTAAAAAGGTTAATTAAATCGTATATCATCGAAAAATAATAAATTTTTGCAATAATAATAATTTGGTGAGTTCCAACATCTAATTTTTACACGGAGAAAAAAGATTTCTTTTATAAAGTAACTTTTACTACTTTCAGAGTAAAACTGGACCAACTCGAAGTTTCTGCGCATCTCTGGCAATTTTTACTCCAAAAATAGTAAAATTTACTCTAGAAATAGTAAAACTTACTACGGAAACAGTAAAATTTACTACAGAAATAATAAATTTTACTATTTTTGGAGTAAAAATTGCCAGAGATGCGCAGAAACTTCGAGTTGCTCCAGTTTTACTCTGAAAGTAGTAAAAATTACTTTTTCTTTTTCTCCGTGTAATAGTTTTTTAATAATAGCGTTTTTAAAAAAATTGAAAAATTTAAGGTTACAAAATCACATTGTGAACCTCCTACTTTTGATATTTAATATTTTTAAAGGGAATAAAATTTTTACCATAATATTATGGTTAATGAACTCAGGGAATCATCGAGTTTCATATATATTAAAATTAGATTTTTTAAAAATTTGGTCGCAACCACTATTAGACGAAAGTCAGTGGACTGACCCTTCATTATTTGTCATTCACGCATGAGAATTTAGTATAGCAAAAAAAAAAACATGTTTGGCTTTGCTTTTTGTCATTTTCAATTTTTAAAATCAAGATACAAGAAAATTGACATTGATTTTACAATTTATATTTGAGCTTAAATGTAAACTTTATTTATGAATCTGCAAAAATGGATTTATCGTATAAAAGTGTTGCTCATATTTTGCACAATTTTTCTAGTTTTTTTTTTATATTACCATATTATTAAAAAAGAAACTAAATAAGAAGCTTATTATATTTAGAAACGTATTACAGAATTACAATGATTTTTAATTTATTTTCCTCGCAATTCTGTGAAATCTGGTGATTATTGTCTACTTGAAATTAATGTTTAAATAATAAATTTATTTTTATGATATACACAACCCCCTTTTCAGACATTTACGAAATATATATATATTTATCTATAACCGATTAATAAATTTTAAACAGGGTCAACCATACGTAATACTGATGTAGGTTTCACCTCATTTATTTCGTTTTTTGTTTTTTTTTTTTTTTTTTTTTTTTGATGTCCTCTTTTATATTTTCCTCGGAGGAAAATAAAGGAAACACAAAATGTTGTTTCATTGTGTTGAAAAAGATCGTTGAAGCGATCATTCTAATATAAAGCTGAAAGCACGGGAAGCAATATGTATACCATATACGTGACCGTGTCCATAATCTCCATCTCTTTTCATATGCATGATACCTTTAGTCTTGTATCTGTTTAGCTACCAGAACTTTGCATGATTCTCATATTGCACTGCTTCCGTTTTTTTTTTTTTTTTTTTTTTTCCTCTAGAATTATAAAGGATTCATTTCGATAATGTACATGAGACATTCTAACATCTTGTAGAAAATCAAAAATATAATTTAAAAATAAACTTAAAAAAAATTTTCTCTCAGGGCTAAATGAATTTGTTTCAAATAAATATCAATTGGTTCATATAACAAATTTTAGTAGCGGCAAACAAAATTTTTTTAATTTAAAACACAACTATTTAGCTTTGAGACAAATATACAGTTTTATTAAATTCAAATACATTACATTGGGTACGAATAAAAAATTTAAAATAAAATAAATACTAAAAATAGAAAAAAACAATTTTTTTTAAGATAGAAAATAATAAAAGTTTTTATCAAAAAAAAAAAAATGTATTTTATAATTTATTGATCAATAAACATTACAAGAAATATTTTCTGAGACAAAAACTCAGGATTTTTAATTCAAAAAAATATTTCTTGAAAAATCGTTAATCATAAACGTTATGAACTTCAACATTATTAAACAGAACAAAAATTTTAACATGAAAAATATAGAAATTAAAATTATTTCTCATCTATATTTACTGTAATTTGATAAAATTTTAAAAATCATAATTTAACGAAAAAAAGGTACGTTTTCATTTCAAAATAGATAAAATAATTTTTTATTTATTTACATTTTAAAAGATAGGTGTATAAAAGAATAATTCCTCTGAGTCGCAAAGCTTTTGCTTTTTTTTGTTTTTTTTTTGCACATTTATGAAGCATTTAACAATTATTGACAATAAATAATGATTTTTAGTTGTAGTAAAAATGTAACAATATTTACTTTTTTTTTTATGGAAGTGTGAAAGTAATAATAACCTTTTCATATTGAATGCGCTTTTATGGGAATTGAGTGGCTTCCATTGTATTTGTAGCTAGAAATGTTTGCTTTTGTGTGAAAAGTCGACATGATAAATTACTGACATTGCTGTTTTCTAACAGTTTGACAGATTCGTCTCAACGCGAGAACCTTGGAATTATCGTTCAATATAAAGTCAAAGTAAAACTTTGTCTTGGAGCATTAGGAGGGTAAGTGTATTACATTTTTTTTTATTAAAGGTTTTTATTATTATACGCTCTTCATTCTAATTTTATCACGATTTTTTATATTATATATATATATATATAATAGTGAAATAGATAAGTGATATTAAAGATTAGAAAAGAAAAAGTGATAAAAATCTTGAAGATAAGAAATTTTAAAATCATTATTTTTTTAAAATTATTATTTTTTAATTCATAAAAATAAAGTAAAATTAATTTATTTTCTTTTATATATATTGTGTGTATATTTTGAAAGTTTACTGGGTATTCTTTACGTAGAAGTACTTTTTGAAGTTTAATTTGATTGAGTTTGAAATTATTGTCACAGGGAATTGGTTGCTGAATTGCCATTCACTCTAATGCATCCAAAACCAGAAGAGGAAGAACCAGAGAGGATAGTTGTGGAACCTCCAAGTCCTGTACATAACAACAATGCAAATAATAAAGACGAGAACCTGATTCAGTTGGACGCGTAAGATAAATACAATATTATTTTTATTTGAAAAAGAAAACGAATTACTTTCAAACTTTCTGTATGAAACTTTTTAAATTAATATTTCTCTCTTGCGCAAAGTGGAATTTAAAAAAAAAACTATCCAAGAAACTTTTCTCAATATTTATATATATATATATTTCTTAAACAAAGGAACAAAAATTTTGCCACAGATAAGTAATTTAAAAATTTTTCATTTTTAATTCAAACAAATTGTTGTTTTCTCAAATTTGAATAATGAAATAAATTTTATTGAAAATACGATTCAAATTTTGTATTTTTTTTCACAGTGAAGTGGGAGGAGACGACGATATAATATTTGAAGATTTCGCGCGTCTAAGGTTGAAAGGAGAAGGTGATGCTTGACCAAACCAACAGAACGGTTGTACCTGTACTGCACGATAAATCGTGTGTTTTCTCTTTTGCATTAATACAAAGAAAAAAAAACACCTCGATATTCAAATTCAACGACTGTGGAGAAAACTGGTCTGAAAAACTCAGAGTTCGCCACAAATTCAGGTAATCAAATCCATATTCAAGGCAAAAAAAAAAAAAAAAAAAAAAAAGGTTGACATAATTGTAAACCTTTTAATTATAAACTTATATAATGACAAAACAATCCAAAATAATAATTTGTATTCACCATCATCGTGAATACATTTTATCAAGGATTCTCGAACTAGACTTGTTAAGGGGGTAGTCTAGTGTTACGATGCCTTTTTGGGAGCTTATTTCAGGATTTTTTTTTATTACAAAAAAAAAAATTATCACACCAAATCTTTTTACTTTGTTTTATTCTAATCATGAAGTGTTGAAAAAAATTATAATCGATTATTTTTTACTAGATTTTGTTATTTACATTTAATATTAATGTTTATAACAAAAAAATGCTGGCGCAGATGATTTACAAAAATCTATCCGACCGATTGCTCCAATTTTTTTTACAGCTTATTCTTAGCCCGTACTAGAATAAAACATTTTTTTAAATAAATAACCAAATAGCGGACTATATAAGCAAAAAGATTCAAAAATTGTCTCTTTTTTATTGACAAAAAATTAAAAATAAAAAAAAGTTATCATTAAAATTGCGTAATTCTAGTACGGGCTACAGCCATACTTCTGTAAAATAAGCTAAAAAAAAGTAAAGCATCGGTTGAACAGATTTTTGTAAATCACCTGCGCCAGCATTTTTTTGATATAAACATTAATATTCAATATAAATAACAATGTCTAGTAAAAAATAATCGATTATAATTTTTTTCAACACTTCATAAGGAAAATAAAACGTTGTAAAAAGATTTGGTGTAATTACATTTTATTTTATAATGAAAATAAATTCTGAAATAAGCTCCCAAAAAGGCATCGTAACACCAGACTACCCCCTTAAAAATTGCTCTTAAAAATTGTGACTAACTCTTCTATTTTATGAACTTTAAAAAATAATAATATACATAGAGTTTATTAACACAAAAGAGTTGAATTACAAATTTATAAGAGCAATAACAAACAAAAAAATTAGACGTTTTTTGAAAATTTGTCTATTACTAATTATTTAACGAGAAGTTTGATTATTATTTTTTTTTTTTTAAGTGAAACGATCTTTTTTGTACATAATTAAAGAATATTATTGACTAGCACACAAAGGTCTGTGTGTGTGTGTGTTAAAGAATTTTATTTCAGTATTTTTAATATTATATTTATAATAAGTAATGTTTTACGGCAACAGACCAAAATAGCACAAAACTTTTAAACGAATTTTTTTTCATTTTTTTTTTTATTTTTAATATACAAAAGTAACAGCACAAATTTGAAATTGACGAAAATATTTTTCAGTCTTGTGAGACTATAAACTAATATAGAGAATATGCCACACGGACGAGTTTTAAAATATGTATATTGTAATGTCGAGTAAATAATTGAAAATATAATTTTCATTTCTCGACTATTGTTGTTCATCGATATTGACTCCCGTGGCAAGTTGTGTGTTTCAAATATTATGAAGTTTTTAATCCCTTTAGAAAATCGGGGATTTTACTCAAGCCAAAACTTTGTTAAAAAAAAAGTACAAGTGGAAATCCTTTCACGTTCGAATCGGATTAGAGTCTAAATTTTGAAAGTGCTTGCATGCTTTTGCCGTTCGAACTTATACTTGTGATTCAAAACTTGAAAATCTCAAATTGGAAATCGGCCAAAAGTCTCAAGGCTTGAGTATTTTTTTTTCTCCAAAAAAGAATATAATAAAAGGCAATTTTTTTTTTTATGGAAATAAGTGACAAATTGTATAATGTTTCAACGACTTGTTCTCGTCTGTAATGTAATAGCTAAGATGACAATTTCTCGATATATGAATTAATACGACAGCAGATGAAAGGAACTGCCTAAAGGCTCGTTTAAAAGAAAATATTTCACAAATCAGGGAAATAAATTGGTCAAGAGAAAATAATCAAATTTTATGCCAAATGCATAAAAATATTTGTCCACATACGTTTGCAATTAATCGCTCAATTAAAGAATGTATAGTTTTGTTAACAATAGAGTTTTATTTTAATTTACAATTTTTATGAAACAAAAATTTAATTAGTTTTTTTAATGATGAAATAAATTTTTTGTGGTAAATTTAAAAAGTTTTAAAAGTTGAGTGATTCTTTTTTAATTGTTACTTTTTTTTGCTATATATAGATCACGTTTATTGTTCGCGCTTTGAAATGCAATTAATATTTATAAACTTCAACTTTCTTGAAAAGTTAAAGTTTCCTGAGTGTAAAGTTTTCAATGAAAATGCATTTCTAAATGAAATGTTCAGCATCTGATATTAACGAAATAAGAAGCTAAGTTGATTGAACACAACGCTTTAATGTACAAAATGTAACTAGCAAGTGTTAAAAAATAATAATAGTAATAATAATTTAATAGAGAATTTTTGCTAATGTTATAATCATACTGAATGTTCGCACAATTAAAGTATTTTATTTAAAATATTTTTAAAATTTATACATTGCTTTTTCATCGCCGCTTTAAAAATTAATTACAAATAAACATTACGTGTATATTTTATATATTTACATTAATTCCATTTGCAATGTGTTTACACATTATTTGTAAATTTATCAACGAATTTTTAAATTCTATTTTACAAACATTAGCAAAAAAAAAAAAAAAAATTAATACAAATGCTCATCATCGATTAAGTCTCACGTAATTGGTCAATTTTATTATGAATAACGTAAACTTACAGTCTGATTTTTAAAATTAAATACTAAAGTTAACTGTATTTTTTTACGCTTAAACGATGAAAAAACAAACTCGAACGTGTCGATAAAAAAAAAAACAGAATGTTTCTCTTGTTCTTGAACTTCATTTTGAAATTTAATTTTTCACAATGAATGTAAGATTAAGTAAAGCAAAAAGTTTTAAAATATAAATTCAATATATTATGAAAGTCGTGAAAGTTTTAAGGGAAACGTGAGAACAGGAAAAAGAACATTTTAAATCCACGTTGTAATGTTGATAAGTCTACGTCCAAATTGTGGTTAAATTGTAAATTTAAAAAATAATGTGCTCTGATTTATATATGTTCCTGAAGCTTTGAATGTTTATGTGAGAGCTGAATTTTATTCTTTTTAAATTAAATTAAAACGGATTTTTTTTTTCAAGAAAAAGAAATAATTAAATGACAAAAAATGAATTTAAGCGTTCAAAACTTTAGGAACATTTGATTTATTGTCAAGTGAATATACGATGGTTCTTGATTAATAGAAATGTAGAAAAATAGAACCATTTCAAGTGTAAATGTCTATTTATCTATTTAAGCTAATTAAGAAAGAAATGTATACGCTACATTTTCCTATATATATATATATAAATATATATATTAATATTAAATCAGTGGCTTTTGACGTGATTGCGATATCAAATTGAAGTGTTTCGGTTAAAATAGAAGAAAAATTACAAACTTTGTTATCGCACTTATATGAAAACATAGATGGTCAGAAGTAGTATTTTTCAAATCGTTTTAGTACCTATGGAGTATATTTAGGCAGAAATATAAAGTACTTCTTAAATCACAATACAAGTTCAGAATGATTTTTATGAATTTTAGAAAACAAAAAAAGCTTTTAATCACAAATTATTTATTATTCATTTATAGTGATATTTATTAAAGTATTTGAAAAATATTGTCAAATTTTACTGAATTTTTATTTATAATGAAAATGAACAATTTCTTTTGTTTTGTCTTTGTTTCTCTCGATTAAATTGAAATTGTTTTGTTTACTTGTATTGTTGATCGATTACGATGTATTTTATCTACATTGCAATGCCAAAGGAAATATTTTGCTTTAATGGGTACGAAATGTTGTCTATAGTAAATGTCCAATTATTATTTATGTTAATAATATCAAATAGAAAAAAAACACAAGTCTAACAAAAAAAAAGAAAAAAAACAATGTGTGTATGCAAAAAAATGAAACGAATGAAAGTGTGAATTACAGTCACGCTTATTAATTGTCAATTTTCTAGAGATCGAATTTTTTAATCAATTGAAAAAAAATATAAAGAATTTTTCTTATATCTTTTTTAAAAGAAATTGAGGTGTAGATTATGCAAATTTCTACGGATTACATGCAAATTATCAATTCTTTTAGGGATTTAACAGAATCATAAACGAAAGTATTAATGTTGCATTTTTTAATTAGGTTGATAAATATTTAAATTTTAAATTTGCCTTTAGTCGTTAAATCCGTTTTTTTTTATTCACAAATTTTCTAATAAAAATGAATCACGAATATATATTTTTGTTTTATACTAATAAATAATGTTCTTGTTATAATATTTAAATTTGTTTTTGAAGATTCTTTTTTTTTTAATTTTGACTACCATTAAAATGTTTTTGAAGAATTTTAAATAGAATTTTTTACGCAGTTGACACCTCTTCTCTACTTTATATTGTAATCTTTTATAAAGATTAAAGACTGTTGGAGATATTTTAAAGTATGATTGAAATCGAGTATGTTTATATTATAATTGTGAATAATTGTTTCATTATAAATAAGTCGAGTAAAATGGAATAAAAAAAAAAAAAAAAAAAAACACACACACAAATAATTGACAAGAATTCACACATTGTTGAATGTAACGAACATTTATCAGAATTCACTGCAAATTATTTATAATCTACATTTTAGTGCTCAGTGTAAATTGCATTTAAGTATACTGAGAACTATATCGTTAAATAATCTTTTTTAACATTGAGTCCTTGTTTGTACGAAATTTTCAACTAAATTACTAGGTGTAATAAAGTAAGCAAGGAGGCGTATATTAACGTGTAAAAAATTAAATAGTTAACAATGAAAAAAAAATATATATATATATATATAAATAATATATTATATATGTAAAAAATTGTGTATTCTCATATTATGAATGTAGTAATAATAACTTAATAAAATATGAAAAACTACGTATGTCTTTTCCATCTTTTAATACATAATATTAATTTATTACTCATATATATATATAGAAATTTATTAATATTATATTTTACTATTTTGTATATTATTTATTTATAAATTCAAAATCGCTTGGAATTTTATTGTTTTAAAACTGAAACTTGTAATTTTAAATAATGAATGAAGAATTTTATAATCTAAGCGAAAAAATTTGATTTTTTTAAATTAATAGAGATTTTATTAAAAATTGAATTTTTTTCTAATTTAAATTATTTGTAAAAAAATTAAGAAAATAAATTTTCTTTTAATTTTTATACGATAGTTAATAAGGAAGATTGCGATTTCTTCTGATGATGATAAAAGTAGAAAATTCTTTATCAGTAGACGTTTATTGACTTTCGCTTTTATCAGCATTATTTTAATGATTGGAGCACGTGCTGCTTTCTGATGGATAAATCGTCTGCACTAGTCTGTTTAGTCAATGCTCAAAAGAACTAGGTACTTAAATATGTTGAGGCAACGAGATTTTGCTTTATTTTTATAATCATTTTAAGAGAAATTTGCAAATTTTACAAAATATATTTACGTTCTTCTGACATAATCTCTTTAATAAACTAAACGAAAAACATAAATACAAATTGGATTTGAAGATTCAAATAGAATAAAATGTTCGATTTTGCACAAATAACATAACATTGAGAATCAATGACTGTTATTTAAATGTCAATTGAATTTATAGATATTTATTTTGAGAGAATTAAAAAAAAATGAATTGGAAAAAGACGTCGATTATTTTGTGTTTATTTGGATTTGTAAAAGAATTCAGACCCTCGGAACCTTTTGTAACAAGTTACTTCACAGGATCATGGAAAAATTTTACTTCTGAGCAGGTAGAAAATTATATTTTCATTTAATTTAAAAATTATAAATGATGCAATTGAATTGTTCAACTTTACATTTGTGTAATTTTGTTCAGAAATTGTAAAAATTGATAATGAATTAAATAATCAGATGCGAAACTTTGTTTATTATCAATTGGAGCATCAGTTAAATGTTTGTTTACCAAATTGAAAAAAATAAAATAAAAATTCAAAGTTTATTACATCATAATAATAGTTATTATAATATTGTTAATTTTATTATAATTTTTAATTTTGATTTTAATAATATTAATGAAGACAATTTTATTTCAACGAGACGAAATTTATGTAATAATAATTTCTGTTTTATCAATTTTTCATGTTTGTAATAATATATAAAAAAATTGCTTTTTATTTTCAGGTCAATCAAGAAATTTATCCTTATGGAACCTATAGCAATTTGGCATTCTTAATTTTTATATTTTTGATGACTGATTTTTTACGATATAAGCCGGTGATTATTCTATGTGGATTATCAGGAACAGCAACATTTTTAACATTACTACTTGGAAAATCGTTAATTGAAATGCAAATAGTGGAAATTTTATATGGATTATTTATTTCCACTGAAGTTGCTTATTATACATATATGTATGCGGCGGTGGATAAAACACATTATCAAAAAGTCACAGGATTTACAAGAGCCGCCTTTTTATTTGGAAGATTTTTGTCTGGCGTTGTAGCACAATTAACTGTATCTTATGGACTATTGGATTATGAACAATTATTGTATTTGACAATATCTGGTATTTATTAACATTTTACGAGTTGGTTTTTTTTTATCTAAATTCCATTTTATTTTTCGTTTTATGTAATCTCAGCAAAAAAAATGATAAATTTTTCTATATCGTTTTTTGTTATTTTGTAATTTATTTGTGTATTATTATTTAATTCATTGTTTATTTTTAGTTATTTCGTTGTTTTATTTTGAAAAAAATTTAATTTAGTTTGATCGTTCAAAGTATGAGTGATTAATTAATTATTTTTTTTCAGCACTTGGACTTTCAACGGTCTGGGCTTTTCTATTGCCTGGGGTTAAAGGCTCGATTTATTTTCATCGTGTCAAAGATAGTGAAAATTTATCACATGACAATGATGATATTAAATTTGACAAGGAAATTGAATCTTCAATGAAATCACCGAAATCGAAAAATATTTTATTAAAATTAAAACAAGCGTATATATTGTTGTGGAAGGATTTTCTAAAAGCTTTTACAAATAGTCATGTTGTTAAATGGTCTTTGTGGTGGGCTTTTGCAACTTGTGGATATGTACAAGTACTTAATTATGTACAATTAGTATGGGAAACTGCGTATGGAAAAGATAAAAATAAAATATTCAACGGTGCAGTTGAAGCTCTTTATACAATAATTGGTGAATATTTTAATTCCTATTAAAGTAATTAATTAATTAAGGTGGATTTTTTGTTTCTTAAAAATTATTATTTTAAATTTCTTTCACATGAAATAGTTTTTAAATTTGTAAACCTTTTTTTTCACATTTAATTTTTTGTTACATTCTTTTTACAATTTATGTAAAATTTTGAAAATTTTAAAATTCTTTAAATTATAACTAAACAAAAATTATTTTTACTGGCTCACTTGTAATTTTCTAAAAAAACAGTGTGATAAAAAAATTGTTATATATATATATCTGTATTTTTTGTTACAATAATAATGATTATAAATAAATAAATTTCAGGTGCTGTGTCAGTGTTTGGAGTTGGGACATTAAGAATTAATTGGTCTTTATTCGGAGAGATAACTTTATCGATATTTTCTTTTATAGAAGGTATCTTATTATTTGTGTCTTATAAAAGTTATGATATCTGGTTGTTATATGGGGTTTATGTAGCTTTTGGTGTTATTTATCATACTGTGATAACCGTTGCCAGGTATGAATATTTTAAACTTTAATTAGTTCGACTTGTAATTTTTAAAATCTAAAAATACCTTTAGAATTTGTAAATTAAAAAAATGTTTAAAAGTGATTTATTGGTAATTAATATTACTAATATTATACAGTAGCTTTGATTAGTATACTAAAGAAATTAATTTAATTTTTTCTAGTTTTGAAGTTGCGAAACACTTGTCTGAAGATAGTTACAGTTTAGTTTTTGGAATAAATACTTTTCTTGCACTGGTGCTTCAGAGTTTGCTGACTTTTCTTGTAGCAGGCGGAAATGTTTTTATTCTCGACATCAGGCAACAGGTAAAAAGAATGCTTATTACATTTAAAAAATTAAAAAATTGTAATTGAATGAGAATTTTTCAAAAATAATTTAATGAAACTAATTTAATTAATATAAACTGCTGTAAATTTGTCCTTTTTTTTAATTTCAGTTTCTCGTTTATAGTGGTTATTTTGGTGTTCTTGGATTAATTTTCATGATAATGGCCTTATTTACTATTATTAATTATCGCAGACAGGGTAGAAGTTTTCAATTTTGGCTACATGAAGAGAGAGCGATTAATGAAAGTTGATTTCTAGTTTAAATGACACGTAACAATAGAGGTAAAAATATAATTTATCAATAAAATATATATTTTTTAAACATTGTCTATAATATAAATGAGAAAAATAATTATTACAGAATGTGAACGGAAATAATATAAATTTAAATTTATAGAACCTGGACTTTGAACAAATTGAAAACGTCCTGAATATGATGAGAATAATTTTAAAGGAAATTATTTAAATTTTACAAAGCCTTTAGTGTAGTATAATTTTAAGTAGTGAATATAAAATTTTAACAGTTTTTATTTGCAAACATTATTTATTGAATTAAAATCAATTTTATAAGAGCTTAAGTTTTTTATATAATATATTTTTTTAAAAAATGACATTGCAAATTTTATTAATTTCATTCTAAAAAACAAATTTTGGAAATTTTTTCATGATTTTTACTTTCTTTTTCGACTAACAAAAGAAAAAGTTTTTTAAATATCTTATATTCTTGATTATTGTATATTTGTATATATTTGTATATTGTCATCTTGTAATTGTTATGAAAAATAGTATATAGAATATAGAAATTTGATAGTATAGATAAAATGAGACTGAAAAAGAAGTCAAATATTTGAAAAAATATATTATTTTTAACATAAAAATGTAGATACTGTGTTTACAAAAGACGTTAAATAAAATGTTTTATAATAATAATTTTAATAATGAGCTTTTTCTTAATTTTTTGTTCTCATTAGATTATTTTCAATCAAATTAAAATTTATTTAATTGCAATATATATTTTATTGAAATTAAAATTTTTCTTATAATCAAAACAACTTCCTGGACATTAAAATAGTATTTAGATTATAATATTAGAGTTGCGAAAAATATTGAACGTTGCAAATCAATTGAAGAGATAAGTATCAACGAATCAATCGTTATTGAGCAATGATGAAAATGAACTTGAATAAAGTCGATAGATTATATTATTTCTGGATCGAGACCTGCTGTAAAAATAAGTAGCGTAATTTTGTTTATAGACAGATATTTATCAACGTCAATTGCTTGAAACAATAATTGCAAATTTTGTTTGAAGAAAATGTGTTACGTATAATAAATGATTTAAAAGTTTACAGAAACCATTCGTTTTATATATATATATATATATATATACATATATAAAAAGTCACTAAAGAAAATATAAGATTTATAGATATAAAATGTAGAAGAAACGTTTACATTTCATTTTGAGATTATTTTAGACTATTATCAATTTTCTTTGGATTCCGAGGAAACAAGTGGAAAAATTTTAATGTGACATTCAAGAAATGATAAAAAGAAAATAAAACATGAAAGAAAGTGATTGATTATCTACTTGCAATAATTTAGAGGGATATAATATTAATATTTACAAATTTTTCATTTTAAAACATGGATTTTCTTAAAAACTTTATTTCTATTAGTTCAAATTTCTGCTTAAGAATTGAGTAAGTATAAAAGTCTTGTAAAATTTCGTTATTATTAAAAACAAATTAGATAAATTTGTATTAAAATGCTATTAAAATTTGTAATTAATTTTAATATTTTAATAAATGTATTTTATATTTGTTTTTTAAACAAAATAAGACTTAGAAAATTTTTGATACATTCAGAAGAGATGAATCCTAAAATATGCGATTAAGAATAATAGCTCTGTTTGTGTAAGTAATGTTTTCGAATGATATTCAGTCAAAGGTCAATGATAAAAACAGAACCCCCTGCAGATCACTTTACTCTCGATGGTTAACTGTCTTGGAGATCCCTTGGTTTCGTAATATTTTTACTTATCTTCTGAATGTTTACTCTTTAAGAGCAACTTTAATGATAGGAAAAAAATCACTTATTTTTTTCAATTAAATACCTTTATATCAAATCGATTTATGAAAATGATCATTTTTCATAATTTTGTCAGCAAGGAAACAGTTTTTATTGAATCAGAAAAGAAAAATTTCAAAACAATAATTTGAATGAATAATTCAAATGAAATGAAATTTTCCTTTGATAGTTAATGTTACAAATTTTATTATTCTTCTCAAATTTAAGAGTTGCATTTTTCAATTGAACAATTAATGTTAATAAATAGTTGATAAAGAAAAAAATTAAGATAAAAAAATTTTTTTTACTTTTTTCCTTTTTCAATATTAGAATTAAAATGTCACAAAAAATGTAGTACAAGTTATGTCATATATTGATAAATTTTTTCAGAATTGAAGAAACAGAAAATTTCAAGGCCAAGTTGAAACGTGTCGGTACATAATTTTCCTAATTAAAAAAAAAAAAAATGTAAGTTTTTTAAATTATTAGTTTTTAAACTTATGAGTGCAGTTACATATATAATTGTTTTAAAGCATTTTTTTACCTTGTTTTATAACCATTTTTTTCTTGTGTAATAATTATAAAAAATTATTATGATAAAGAACACGGAAATAAATAAAACTAATTGTATTTTTTTTTTTTTTTTGTTACTGAAAATAAGAATTTTCTATCTCATATTGATTGAATTAAAAATATAAAAAAAATTTAAAAGTCTGTTCTATAAACTAAAAAAGTTTATAATATAAGCAAAAAACAAAATGTAAAATAAATTAATAACCTAACTTTATTTCCAAAAAAAGAGGGGAAATTTTCAAAAATAATTAACTTTAGCTTCCTTTTACCAAATGGATATGTTTATTTTATCATGCTAATGATAGACTAGTATTTTTTTTTATAGAAATAATTGCTTTTGATAAAAAAAATGTCCAGGCTCAAAAATAAATTTATGTTACAAAAGTTAACTTTTGAATTCTATATTAAAACTAATATTAAATTTTAAAAAAAAATTAACAAGTTTAATAAGTAATAAGAGAAATTTATTTTCTACAAATTTTTTTATCTAGTTTTTATTTCTTCAAATTTAGTATTTAATTTATATGTATTTAATGTAATTTTAACATTTTAATTTTTAAAAACTTTTGCTGAAAAAATTTTTTAATTTAAAATCAAATTATATAATTATTATAATTAAAGATAGTTGATAGTATTATAATTTGATAAATTAAAATTGATAAATACCTTTTATTGAAAAATTAATTATTTCGAAAAACAACAGTTTTCCCGCCCTAGAAACGCCATCTTTTTTTATATTTAGGCGATTTATCTTTGACAGACAACTTCAGATTAGGCAATTATATGAATTGCAATTCACTGGAATTCTTTATGAAATAGTACATACAATAACAGTACATACCTGGTTTAGATTTTTTTTATTTGTAGTACGCCATTTCCGTTAATAAGTAATGTTACAGACATTGCTTTTAAAACAGTTGTATATCTTACCATTTTTGACTCAGTATTTGATTTAATTTACATATATGTTTTTAATCATTTTAACTACAGTATTTATAATATAGTCAATCATAATAGTGTGATAAATTTAATTTTATTGATTTCTTTCTACTGTGCGCGGTAAATAAAATAACTAAAAATCGAACACAATGTCAGAAAATCTAAAAGAAACTTTAAAACACGACTGTTTATGCAAAGGATGTCTTGAAAAGTAAGTTTAATAGTTAATTACTTATTAACATTATTATTTGTTTTTGAAATTAATAAATATTCAATAAAATGCTTTGTAAATCAATTTCGCGGTACTAATTGAAATATATGTGTGCATTAACCTGTACCTGTCATACCTGAACATATGATTGTGTATAACAGGTTGCCTGTTTTTCGGTGAGTCCCCCGAATAATTAAAATTTTATAATTAAAGAAATGCCTAATTATTTCCACTGTAATTTGTTTCTATTTTAAAGAATTTTAATTTTATCAATTAATTTTATTTATTTTAATGGAAATTAATTATGAAAATTAATGGTTGTACAATTTTTGGAAATTATTATAGTTTGATATTCTAAGAATTTTTTTCATTTGTTTACATATTCATATAAGATTAATTTCAATACTAGTAAAATATTGAAATTATCAATTTAATTGAATTTTGATTGATTTCATTAGATTTATTTAACGGAAATCAATTATTAAAATTAGATAAGTCAAAAGTGAATTCTTCTTTTATGACTGCTTAGATTAATGAATGTAGGCCATTTATTTCTACTGTTACTCGGCCATTGACTTTTTATATACCAACTATATACTCTGAACAATATAATAAAGTATTATCGTTTAATGTCTTTTATGTTCGCAATATTTTATTTTGATTTTGATTTACAATGATACATCATTTATTGTCTTTTGAATATTAATAAAATTTTCATTTTTATTTTTTTATTCAATGTAGTATTTATTTTAGTATATTATATTCAAAGTATATAATTAGTATTTTTTTATATTTAAACTAATTAATTAATCATTATTAGGATTATTTCTTTTGACTATATTTTTAATTCATTTTTTGGTACTTTTTGTTTTTAAATTTCTTATTAAATTAACATACTTATTATTAAATGGTTTTTCCATATTTATGAAAAAAAATAATTATATATTCTAGTTATATTAATAATACAAATTTATTTCTAAACTTTTAATGAAAATATTGGAAAAACCTAAAAATCATGAAAAAATGTTGTTTAATTTTTTTCAATTAGAAATGTAAATTTCAAATTTGAAAAATCTTATATTTGTTTTTTTTTTTTTATTTTCAATGCTTTTCAAGTTTGTCTAATTATTGCTATTTGAAGGTTAAGAAATTGTTTATGATAATTTGAAGTTAATTTTCAAAAAAATATATATTTTAAAATAATAATTATCATAGAATGAAAGTTATTGCTCATTTTGTTGATATATTAATACCGTAAAGAAATGTATTGAATAATTAGAGGGAAAAAACATTTATCTCAATTACGACAATTTAGATATTGTAATGAAAAACATTCCAGTTTTATATATGTGTTTATATATTTTCGTAAAGTATTATTATAATCTTTTTTTGATACTCTAAAGGGGATGATGAATTTTATCAGTAAGGTAACAATTCAGAGTTCATACTATATCAATATTTAATGTCATATACATTACTTATCGGACACATAACTTTATAATATAGAGTTCATTTCACAATTGTAACACTTTTAAAAAATCAAATATTTTCAAATAACTGCCTTAATATTGCGTCGTTATTTTACATATTATCTGAATAATCTAATATTTACACAAAACATTTGAAATAGTGAGAAAAATAGAAAAAAATCGTGATTTTGGACTATATGTAGAAAATGCATTTATTTAAAATTAAATTCAAATTTTTATAATAATAATAATTTTTTTATTATTATTACTATTATTATAAGAAATAAATATTTATTTATATAAAATGATTATAAATAAAGTCATTTAAATATAATTGTTTTAAATACAAAAATTGTTAATTCGAATAAAATTTATTTGATTGGAATAAAAAATTATTTGGTTCAAGTGTAAATATTTATTTGATAATAGTCAAGTAATAGATTATTATTTAAATCAAATAAATTACTTTTTAGTGTAACAATTATTTCTTTTTAGAAAAATATCTTCAAATCAAATAAATTCAAGTACAATACATAAATAATTTTTTTTTTTTTATTAAAAAAAGAATCAAAAATAGATTTCTTGAAATGAAAAAAAATATCATAATTAGCAAAATGTTAATTAAATTAAAAAATTTTTATATCAGAAAAATTGTCATTTGTAATTTATCAAGAGTTTAATATTTGACTTGAATGCATCATATCAAATGAAAATTAATTAATGAACACTATATATTGTTTTTATTCACACTACATATTTAGTAATATCTGTTGTTCTTAAAAATCATAATATTAGTCAATAATAGTGGTCAAGTTATATATTCAATGATGCAATATGTTATCATCGAGTATGATTATTCATAAAATTGTGTGTCATATAAATACAATTTTTTCTTTTCTACCATAATTTTATATGAGACAATATAAACGCAACGTTTAAACAAACAATGAAGTCCATAAAAAAAACATTATTTAGCAAAGAAGCAGGAAATAATGTGTTTAAGACAATTTCTTATACATTGTAGATTTGTTTTTTATACACCTATTGGAAACATTTTTTTAATTATTAAATTAAAAAATTTATGATAAAAAGTAACGAAAAAAATTGTTTATTGTAAATTTTCATTTTTATTTATTTTCATATATTTTCATTTAAAATTTTTTATTATGTTACATTTTTTTCTTGTCAAGAGCAGATGATTATAAATTTGAAATTAAAAATTCCCATTGGATTAAAAAAAAAAAATATATATACAAACTTACTTTTTTATTATAATTCTATTATATTTATTTTGATTATTATTATTTATATATTTTAAAGTATTTATATTTTTATATTTATATATTTTTGTATTTTCATCTATTTTTATTTTTTTATAAATTATCTATAATAATTATTTTCTTAGTATATGTATTATATTATAACTTATAGTAAATGATTATATAACTTAAGTTTTAAAAATCATTGTCTTGTTTTTTACAAGTCTTCGAATTTTTTTTTGTTAATTATAAAAGCAACCATTTGCTTTAAAAAATCTATAAAATTAATTATTTTCTTTTCTTTATATATAATCATTTTTTACATAATAATTATATTATATTTATTTCTATAATATAGTTTTAGATTGAAATATTTTTACACAACATTGAAACTTTTTTTTTTGTAATATACAAAAACCTAAATTTATAATTATAAAAATAAACAGAAAATCAAGAGATTTCAATTTTTTTTATAAATAAACAATTATGACCGAAAAGCCTTTAATTAAAAAAAAAAATGTAAATAATAAAAATTATTTGTATATAATAATTAATTCTTAATGTCAAGTTGAAAAGTAAATGTTAAATAAAATTTTTCATAATTATAATTATATGAAGGAGTGTATATATATATATATAATTTTCGAAAAATTATTGTAATTTCCATTATATGTGTAAAAATGTCACAACAACGGACTCTCGAACGTTCATCCAGATCATATATTGGATGAACCATGAGGTATGTTGCGAGACGATATATTTAAATGCTTTTTTAAGACAAGTCTTCAGCCAATGCATGAATATCTTAAGGCAATTGAAGCACATTTACTCCATAACTACTTTTATAATGGGTTATCATTATATGCCCCTGCGAGTCCGAGGCCGGCTTTTTATCTTGACGTTCATTGGGTGCCGTATATAAGTAATTCCAACTATTTGTCAGCTGTAACGCGACCATTTTTTTTTATCTTCGACTCTTGGTTATACTATAAAGCACTGGATGCTTTTATAAACCACAAACAGTTCGAAGACGTCAGCTCAAAGTGTGTAACGTCATTGTTCAATAAATTTTATCAATTTTCTATACATATAAAACTTCATTCAGTGCATTCTTCTTCTTCTTCTTCTTCGTTTATTTTCTTAAAAATTGAGTTTTCAAATATTACACGCGATTGTGATTTTCAAAAAAAAAAATCAATAAGGGTGAACTGTAAAGTTTTTTTAAAAATTTTTTTCAGTTTTTTTTTTTTTTAATTTCAAAATGCCATTTTTGGGCACTGAATCCGTGAATGGACATGGACAACTTAAAAGGCCCAATGAAAACGAGTTTTTGCATACTCTCGTGAAACATGCACCTCACACTTCGTAAGTCTTTTTTTTTTAACTCTAATAATGGACATTTTTCAAGGTGAAAAAAAAATTATACTGTGAGTAATTAAAATTCCTGTTTGAAAAAAAGAGAATAACTGTGTAATTATTGGCTCATTTGGAAGAAGAGTTATTCACGCGTTTTAGTTTAAATTGAAGTTAATTAATTGTGGATATTTTATATTGAATTAACCAGAAGTTTTTTTTTCTGAATTTTCTTTTTCTTTTGATCTGTGTGGTATATTTATTTTCAAAGCCTTACTCATTTTAAAACTTTTTCACGAATAACTCAAATAGAAGATTTTTCTCATGGGATATTTTTTTTTCTTCTTTCTTTCATCCCTTATTTTCTCTAGATTTGAAAAAGTTGAAAGTTCTCTTGTTTCCGTAAGTTTTGCTAGTTAGTTTTTCAAAAGTTTACTAAATTCTTCATTTTTTTTTTCATTGTTATCAAAATTTTTATAACTGATTTTGACTTATTTTTTGATATAATTAAATTTTTTTGTAATTATTATTTGATTAATATAACATTATAAGAAATGAAAAACTTATTCTCTAAATTTGAGGAAATAAAAATTTTAATTAATTAAAATTTATAGTAATTTTTACTTATTATTATTATTTAAAATTTTAATAATAATTTAAATTTTGAAAATGAGTTTCACACAGGATATACATAAAATTAGTGAAAATTAATTTAAATACATTTTATCCTTTTTTTTTGTTGTTAAATGGAAAATAAAATATGTTCTACTTTTCTATAATTTATGTATATATTTTTTTAAAATTGTTTTCAGGAAAATAGATAAACTTTGACGGAGGTTATTTTTTAATAAACAAAATACGATTTCTCTTATTTCAAAATTACATTTTTTTTACACTAAAAATTTATTTGATTCAAATACTAAGTTACTTGACTATTATCAAATAAATATTTACTTGAAACAAATAATTTTTATTTAAATTAAATAAATTGTATTTGATAATATTTTTTAATAAAACTAAAATATAAAAATATATAATAATAAAATTTTTAATAATATTTAAGAATTTTTTTTTTGTTTTTTTCATTAATGAAAATTTTAAGCTTTCTTTCTTTCAAACAATAATGTTATATCGCTGACGCCCTTAATTAAATACAAATTACTAACGAAGTGTTAAATCATTGTTTAACCAAGTGGCATAATGTTTATGGTAATAATATATAACATTATATGAAAAAAAAGTATAAACAAGACATATTTTTATTAGCACTAAAAAAATGTAATTTATTATGAATATAAATTTTTGTATTTTCCACTTACGAATTTTTTTTTTTTTATTATTCATATTTATTTTATTAAGCATTTTTTTTTAAATTTTTATTCATTCAACCCTTAGTAGTTTATATTTCATGTAAATGATCTCTATTAACTATTTTTTATTCGTTTTACTTTATAACCTTAAGTCAAATTTTTAAGATCGAAAAATAACTGCTACATAAATTATTTTTTAATATAATGCGCATAATTCACATTGTAATTTTATGATAGATCTTAGTGCTTATTTTAGAGTTATTTTAATAGTTTAATAAAAAAAAAATAAAAGAAGATAATAATATATTTATTTTTCATTATTATTTTATTAAATTATTATAAATATATAACGTTTCGTGTCATCACTTCTGACTTGAAGCAGATAGGTGTAAGGGTTGTAATGACATGAATATTCCACAAATCCACTGCGTTTGCATTTTGAAGATAGGTTCTGTTTTGTATGCCAATCATATAAGTACATACGAAGCTGAAGTATGCAACGTTTATGATAAACTATTTTTAAAGAAATAATTTTTTAAAATGAAAAATTTTATAATTTTTTGTCTAAAAAATATTTCTTGTAGTTTTCATTAATCAACAAATTATAAAAAAATATTTTTTATGCAAATAATTAAAGAAATTTTCATTTTAAAAAAATAATTTCTTTAAAAATCGTTTATCATAAACGTTGCGTACTTCAGCTTCGTAGTACATTGTATAATGTGCATTACGAGAATCGTAAACAGGAATGTTTAATAATATTTTACTCTTTTATTTTATCTATTTATTTTATTTTTATTTTATTTTTATTATATTTTATTTTACTATTTAAAATAGTGAAAAAATTGAAATAGAAACCGAAATATTATAGAAAAATGTCTCATCGCAATTTTCGCATTAAAAAAAAATTGGTTTTAAAAGTTTTTAAATACAGAAAATTTTGTTTGAAAATATTTTTATATTATGAGAAATTTTAATAAAATTTGATGTGACAAGTATGATAAAAATTTATATTTATATAATTGTTTATTTAGTAATATTCATTTATTTATATTAATAGACGGAACAAGCCCTTTCGTACATGAGTACTTCTAAAACTGTAAAGCATTGCCCAACTTATATTTAATTAAATAATAATTATAATAATTAATAATTTATTTTAATTTTAATATTTAATAATTTATATTTGTATTTTTAGTTTCAATATTTGAATTTTCGTTACAATGAAACATTTTTTTTTTTCATTAAATAGAGATGAGACAATTTTCAGCAAAAATTATTGTAAACTTTAGCCACGAAGTATTTATATATATATGACAGTGTGAATTTTCATATGTAGCGTTTTGTGTAATATATATGTTTACTCGGTATTTCCTTATTAATTTCGTATCCTTCTCTCCCTCTCTTCATTTAAGACATAGAATAAGGGATGAAAGGGGGAGAGTATCCATGGATGGAGTTAATATTTAATTGCACCTTAGATTTCCTTAGGTATACCATAGTGAATATTATTATAGAACAAATCTCTTACCTTAGATGGGATTTAATTGAAATACATTTAATGGGATATTTAATTTAAAATTATACGCTCTGGCAATCAAAAGCCTTTAGTTTAATTCCGTTTAATGATATATATCTAACAAGGTCGTGAAGTCTTTTTTAATTCTTTTCATGACCAATTTAGAGAATTTTCAATGATAAATTGTAATATACTATATTGTAATACATTATAATAATTAATTATAATATACATGTATTTTTATCAGCACTAAAGTTTAAAATTCTATATTTTTTTCAAAATTTTTAAAAATTTTTCCTTTTTAAAATTTTTTTCTCCCTATAATTTTGTTTTTTTATTCAATATTATAGAATATTTCTCAATTTTACAGCAAAATAATCCTTTAATATTTAATTTATAATTTTATTAAATTTTTATTTATTTTATTTATTATTTTATTTTATTTTATTTTATTATTATTATTATTTTTATTATTTATTATTATTATTATTTATTTTACCTAAATAGAAAATATAATTTTTATTGAAAATGATAATTTTTATTTTTTTTTTCATTGTAAAAAATTTTTTAATAATAGTTGAATAAATTACGGCATATAAAAATCTCAAAACATTAGTGTTTTTCTAAAAAAGAAAAACTAATTTCCATATTTTGAGTAGTTTATTCATATAATAATATACGTTAGGACTAATGCATGTATCAGCAAGTGCACGTGTTACAATCCGTTTGTATGCAAGTCTGCCGAGTGCGTTGTGTTTCGAAGCATGATTTGTAATACCTATATATATATATATATATATATATATACGATGGGTTGCTTCTCTTGTTCGGCTTAAACTATTGCTATATTTGTGCTCGTTAGCACGTATCACGAACAAATTATATCATCGATTTCCGACAACTATATTTCTATACGACATTTAATGAAATGTTCTTCAATTTATTTATTATATCAAAGCGCATATAATGCCCAACTTCACTGAACCAATTTCCATGCAAATCTTACAATCTTCTCCAATTTTTATGTGTTCAATTTTGTTTCTTTTCCTATATCCTGTATAAATATGTACCTAGTATACATTTTCAAAACAAAAATAATAAGTTTCAACGAAAATATAATAAATATTTTATGTATATTTATTTAAAAATATTTATAAATATACTATTTATAAAATGTAAATAATAATAATAAAATAAAAATTAAATTAATTAAAAATGAATGTATAAATTTAATTAAAAATTGTAGAATTAATCGCATTTTTTTTGTTTTTTTAAAAAAATTAAATTTTTGATTTTTTTAACAATTTTTTCATTGCAGAAAATATTCTACCACAAAAAACAAAAAGACATATAAAATACAAATTTAAATAAAATTTTTTAGAATTAATCGCAATTTTTTTGTTTTATGAAAAATTGAAATTTTTTTCTATAAATTGGTAAATATTGCTCTCATTACATTATTGCTCATTATATTTTTTTCGAAAAAATATTTTACATTTAGAAACGAATTAAATATAATCTTATTTGAAATGTATATTTTACTAAATTTTTTTTATAAATTAATGGCGATTTTTTATTTCTAAGAAATTGAAATTTTTATTTTCTTTGCTTTAATTTATGGAAAAATATAATATTAAAAACAAATAAAATGATTTATGAGAAATGAAAATTGTATTAAAAAATAATGCTAAATAATTTGTCCTCTATGAGGAAGTAAATAATATTCTTGACAATATAAACATGCTAACGTATTTTATTAAATTGAACGAATATGTTTATAAAGATAAAAAAAATTGTGTTATAATTAATTTGATATTTCAACTTGTTTAGTAACCGGAAAAACTGGAAAATAGCTGGAAAATCAGACATAGGAATTTTTCTTCAAACCGAGAAATTTGAAATATAAATTTAAAAAAAAATATTTCTCTTTTTTTCCCGTAAATTCAATTTTTTTTGTTTATTTAAAATTCTTAAAATTTGTACAAACAGAATAAAATTCTCAATTTTTCCCTCATATTCTCTTTTTTTACCTAAATTCATTTTTAATAAATTATTTTATTGTTAGAATTTGCGTTAATAAAAGAATAATGTAAATGAAAAGTAGTGAACTATTATATTTGTAATCTTAATAATAAAATCTGAGAAAAAAAATGTTTAATGTCGTCAGATAGTGGCTTTTAGGATTTTTTTTGAAAGAATCATAAAATCTCGAAATGTGCCACCAAATTATTAAAAAGAATTTGGAAACCTGAAGTTTAAGCACAACTGTAGATCTTGTTTTATTCTGGGAAAATTTTTCTAATTTAAAGAAAAAATTATTTATATTACAATTTCTTTTTACAGATATACTTTTGAAGCGTTACAAGAGAGCGCAAAATATCTATTGGATCGAGTACCATTCACTCCAAAAATAGGAATAATATGTGGGTCCGGAATGGGTGAGTGTTAATTAAAAAAAAAAACCATTTTTTTTCACTTTTCATTTTCATTCAATGGCGTTATAGAGAGAAAAGCTTTAAATACAAAAATTTCATTTTTACTCTATTTTGAGATTTTAACAAATTATGAAAATTTTCTTCGGTTTTCATTTTTTTTTTTTCTTGTGAATTTCTTTTATATTTTTGTTTTAATTTCGGGATGCATGATTATGTTCTAAAAATTCATTAGTTAGAATTTTCATTTTATGGAATTTCATTTGTTTAAATTATTATTGAGCCGAATTTTTATTTGTTCGAATTAGTATTTTGCAGAATTTTTATATAACCGAAAATTTACTTCACAGAATTTTTATTTGTTCGAATTTCGGTTCGAAAATCAATTTGATGAAAATTCTGCAAAATATACTACTTAATTCGAACAAATAAAAATTCGGCTCAATAATAATTATTATGACAAATGAAATTCCATAAAATGAAAATTCTAATGATTATTGGAACATAATCTGGCGTTCCTTAATTTCGTTAGGAAATTTTTTCGCAATATTTTTTTAGAAAAAAAAATTAATTGAAAGAAAAAATGTTTCATTAGTTAATAAAATGACATTCGCATGAAAATTTTGAAATAAGAAAAATTAACAAATTATTAGATAATAATTTTTTTGTAATTATCGAATAGATATTAGAGAAAATAAAAATGAAGGGATTTTTTGATTTAACGCTTCTCTAGATAGTTTGTTTTTTATTTTATTTGCCTTAAACAGGAGAATCTGAACAAAGTGAGTTGTGTCCAGGTTCAATAGCAGATTCGCTCACGGAGAAGCAATGCTTTCCCTATGAAGAGATCCCGCACTTTCCAGTTTCAACGGTGACGGGTCACGTTGGACAGCTGGTCTTCGGTTATCTCGAGAATGTCCCAGTCATGTGTATGCAGGGCAGGTTCCACTACTACGAAGGCTATCCACTTTGGAAGGTACATTTCACGTTGACAATATCGTCCCAACTCTTGTGCGCGCGGATAACAAAGCTACTTCAACCTCGAGAGAAATTTCGCTCTCTAGAATTAGGGTGAGAGAGAGAGAGAGAGAGAGAGAAAGGGTTTTCCTCTCTGTCTGACTTAAACCATTCGACCAAAAACTTTACTAATTTGCGCTTATTTACGCTATACTCGAAACCCCGAGAACAATTGTTAACAAAATATCACCTCTCCAATCTACCTAATTGGATTATTTGCCCTTCTGCCTGTGATTCATTCAATTCATCGATGCAATTTTTGTCCCAGTTATATTTGCTGGAAAAAAAAGTACAATAGTTATACGTGACATAGACAATAAATATGAAACACTAATTAGTGCTTTGATTTCTTTTGAATTCAACAAAAATTCTATTTGTTGCACATTAAACTGAATTTTCATAACAAAGAATTTTTATTTAGGTGTTCTTTTTTACACTGCCTTAAATTAAACGATAATAAAATATAATTTTATAGCAAACAAAAGATGAATTCTTATCCGGTCTATTTTTTAAAAGATAAATAATAAAATAATAATAAATCAATAACATTTTTTTTTAACTTTTTAAAGAATAAATTTATTTTTCTAGATTTAAGGTCAATATTACTTTTCTGATCTCTCTTCAAAAAACAATAAACCTGATTTTCGTTTTGAGAATCTAAATTAAAATTATATTTCATTATCGTTTAAGGCCATGTAAAAAAAAAAATCTAAATAAAAACAGAAAACGAGTGTAAAAAAATTATTATCAAAGAATTTTGATAACATAATTTTCATGAAAAAGAATTTTTTTTATTAAATTTGAATTATTCACTAAGCAGAATTTTGAATTATCTTTATTCACATTTATATTGTATTCAATAAAAAAAATTTTATTTCATTTAAATAGTCGGTTACTATAATAAATATTCATATTTGTATAAAATAATTATTATTTGAGTCAATTAAATGGTATTTGAAAACAGAAATTATTGATTCGAATATAATTTATTTAATTCAAATAATAATTATTTGGTTCAAGTAAATATTTATTTCATAATAGTCAAGTAATTGATTATTTGACATTAAATAAATTTTTTTTAAGTGTATAAATCTCATTTCATCAAATTTTATCATTAAAGATAATTTTCATTTAGCAAATTTTTATTTAATTTGTACTTTACTAAAATTTTAAATAGTGGACTTTCTATTTTATCGAATCTTGATTTGTTCGAACTTTAATTGTCGATTAACAGAATCATCAGATAATTGAATTTGATTGAAATTGCATGAATTTTAAACTTTTCTTAATAATTTTATATTATCATTAATATGGGTGAACTTTGAAAACATATTAAATTTTTTTTAAAAATTCGTTTCATTTAGTATTCTTGAAACAAAAACATAATGATTTCTGTAAAGTAATTACCGTTTTTTTAATTAGTTGGCAATGACTTTGTGGTCGAAATATATAATGGAATGACGCTCACTTTAACAAAAAACGGTATTAAATTTTGAAATAAAAAACAGAAATTCCTCCAATTTGACACTAATTTTTACTTAAGAAAAGGAAAAAAGAAATTTTATTAAAATAAGGAAAAAAAAATTAGTATTTTTAAAAATTCTAATAGAAAAAAATTTCAATTTATTTGATTCAAATAATCGGTTACTTGACTATTAATTATCAAAATAATAAATATTTATTTAATTATTATTGCAGTCAATTAAATGGTATTTGTTTCAAATACAGAAATTATTAGTTAAAATCTTCAAATACAGTTTATTTAATTCAAATAAAAATGATTTGTTTTAAGTAAATATTTATTTGATAATAGTCATTTAATTGATTACACAGTTTTTCTGAGGATCTCAAATTGAGACCATAAAGTGTATCAAATTGTTGATAGTGCAACGTTTTGATTCCGTTTATGGTCTCAATTTGAGAGCCTTAGAAATTTGTGTATTTAAAGCAAATAATTTTTTTTTTTTTAGTGTATGAAAGGAAAATAATATTCGAGTTCACATTTATATATGATCAACGATTTTTAAAGAAATATTTATTCTGAATGAAAAATTCTATGGATTTTTGTCTCAAAAACATTTCTTACAATAATTAACAAATTATTAAAAATATTTTTTGTTGGCAAAATTTTTTATTATTTTTCAAAATCTTTAACGTTCGTGAAATTTTTATCTTAAAATTTTTTTTATAATTTTCTGTCTTAAAACAAATTTGTTTTTTCTAATCTTTTATCATAAACTTGATGGACTTTAGATATTGTGATGAAAAAAAAAATTTACATTTTACTTTAAAAAATGATTAAAAATCTCAATAATAAAAATGTAAAAAGTTTGAAAAAAATTTTGCTTACAGTGTGCAATGCCCGTGAGAGTAATGAAGCTTGTTGGTGTGACTCATTTAATTGCAACGAATGCGGCCGGGGGTTTGAATCCCAATTACAAGATCGGAGATATCATGTTGGTGAAGGATCATGTAAACATGATGGGATTTGCTGGCAACAATCCACTCCAAGGACCAAATGATGATAGGCAAGCTTAGTCATATTTATCAATTAGTAATCAAATTTTTAATAATTTTTTTTTATATTAACATTTTTCTAGTTTTTATTTTTTTTTATATTGAATTTTGTTATTTTATTATTATTATCATCTTTGAATTATATTTATTTAGAAATTCATTAATTTATGATGCATTTCTAAATCAGGTCGAGTGATATTTTAGAGCAAGAGCTTTGCAAATAAAAGACATTCTTGCAATTTTCACATTTAAAAAATGCATATATACAATAAACATTTAGAGAATCTTTGCTTCTCATTGTTTGTACATTGAAGGAAATTTAATATTAAAATAATGTTTGCATTTATCTTTTAATGGGAAAAATTGTTCATTTCATTTATTTTTAACAAAGAGTTTTAAAACTTAAAGAAAGTAAAATACAAAGTCATTTTTTTTTTAATCTAAAGATTATTTTCTTTACAAAATTGAACTAATGAATTATAAATATTGATAGTCAAAAGAAATTTCTTTATTCTCTAAATTTGAATTAGTGAAAATTTCTATTAATTTTCAGATAGTTTTCACTAAAACTTATATAGTACAAAAAAAATTAAATCTACTAAATAAAATAGTAATATTTAATTAAAAATTAGTGGATGACTTTTTACTAATTTAGATTTAGTGAAATTGATCGAAAAACAGTTAATTTTTTTTTTAACTTCACAAGGACTTTAAGTTTGTTTTATTAAATTGTGTAAAAAAATTTTTTTATAAAGAGAATTAATAAAATTTATTAATGAAATTAGTTTTTTAGTTGAAAACTTTGTTGAAAATTGGAAAATCCTTATTTCAAAAGGAATTTTTTATTAAAGAGCAAATTTTATCTCAACTTTCAAGTCGAGAATCACTCAATTGAAAGATCTAGATGGAAAAAAAAAAATAGAAAAGAACGATAAAGTAAAAATAAGAAAAAGGAAATAATTAATTTATTTCATTAGAATAACTTCTTGAATCGGATTGATGAACTGTTTGCACGACATAAAGAAGCTGATTGGCGTATTTACTTAAGAAACTCTCGCGTAGTACGTTTCTTTTACATTTCTGACAAGGTGACGTGTACCCCACCACCACGTTACCACCTCGTTTTCACCTTTTCGCAATTCTCAAACCCTGACTTAACTTGCGCGAGGTCGAGCTTTTGGAGCTTTTCTCAGAGTTGCTGCTTCTTCTTCTTCTTTATCCGTTTTCTGTTGTCACTTGGTCCAATATTAATGGACTTCACCATCTCTCGTGCCCCCTCTCTCTCACTCTCTCTCTCTTACTCTCATTCTCTCTTTTCAGTTTATTTCCCGTTTTTCTTCTTCCACCGGGAATTACTCTTATGAATCTAAGGGGTGGGTTTACCAGCTTTTTTACTTTCAAGAAATAGGCTGCATTCACTCTCCACGAACTGGTATTTATTTTATTTCTTTTTTTTCGCCTCGGGATTAATTTCAGTATCATTCTCAAATTGTATAGTTGATTATAAAGCTCGCTGCTCTTAAATATTTGCGATTTTTTTTTAAAATTTTAAAGAATTTACACCATAAGGTATAACGGTGAAAATATAATATATAATCCATTTTATACTGAGTTGAAATTATTTTCCACATTGGAGAGGTAATTTCTTTTTATTTTTCCATTTCTCAACTGACGCGTTATTCTTTATTATTGAGGGAAAAAATTTATTGTCACCTTTTCTATTTTTCAATTTTTTGAAAATATATGCAAAAAACAAAAAAAAAATAAAATTTGCTGAAAATTTAAACTGAAAGTAGATTCTTTTTTTCATAATCGCGACTATTTTAATTATAATTGAAAATTAAAATTCTAATTTTGTATTTTTCCAATTCTCAATTTTTGATTAAATTGTGTTTTTTTTTCGTTTCAGATTTGGTCCCAGATTTCCACCTATGAATAAAGCTTACAGCACAACACTTATGGATATTGGTAGTCAAGTCGCAGAAGAGATGGGAATTGCCGATATCGTTCACAAAGGTGTTTATACGTGTCTAGGAGGTCCCAGTTTTGAAACTGTTGCCGAATTGAAGATGCTTCGAATGGTGGGAGTTGATGCAGTCGGTGAGTTCAAAAATTTATAAAAATATCAATTTTTTAAAGAAAAATTTTTATATAATTATAATTTCATTTTTCTTGTAAAAAAAAAAATAAATAAATTTTGACGTCCAGTTAAATGAAAATTCTGTCAAATAAAAAGCTAATTAACGAATTTTATGTTATATTCATCGATTTGTTTTTTTAATTTGATTTTTCCTAAAAATTTAATCAGTAAAAAATAATAACAATAATAGATTTTTGGAAGAGAAATTTTATATAATTATAATTTTGTTGTTTTTTTTTTGTAAAGGAATTTTTTTTTTTTTTAATTAAAGTGTAAATAGAAAAAAATTACACTGCGAGTATATTGTAATTTTTTTCAGTTGTAAAATTCACTTAGTTAAAATTTTAATTTAGATTTAAAATTTTCTTTTAACTAAATTTTTATTTTCTAAAAAAAAAAAAATTGACGTCTCAAATGAGAATTCTGATAAAAGAAAATTCTGTCTAATAAAAATCTATAACTAATGAATTTTATGGCATATTCATGGGTTTCTTTTTTTAATTGCTTCTAGCAGAGACTGTAACAAAACAACTATACCTTAAATAAAAACCTTTGATCTCTATTGTAGAATTACAACTAACACTTAACAGATATAGTAACTAATGAAGCAATTAATTATTCTGATCAGAAAATAACAAACAAAGCAATTCTCGTTTATGAGAGCGATAAATGAATTTATATATTTATATTTCAGTTTGATCAAATGAAAATCTTTTAAAAAAATATTCAATAAATATATAGGTATAAAATATGCATATAATACGGATATTCAATATCCTATGTATCTTATAGATATAAAATATATTATACATACATTTATTCATAAATATATAATTTATTTTTTACAATAGTTACTATCTGTATAGATATTCAATATTTATCGTTTTAATTATTTCTAGTTTTGTCCAGTTGAGATTCATTAAATCTAAGTTTCAATTTTTTCTTGAATTAATCATGTTTTTCGATTAAATAACTCCTTTCGACACTTTATTAATTAAGATACAGTATCCTCTTGAAAGATAATATATATTGAAATAACTTTCATTTCAATCAATTTTTTCACTACTTTCAAATTGATTTAAAAATTTTTATTTCCTTTCATATGTGTAAATTTTTAATTTCAGATTTAATTTTTTCTTATACATTTTTCATTTCTTTGATTATAAATATTTCCTTTCAACATTTTATTAATTAAGATATACAGTATCCTCCTGAATGATAATAATATTGAAATAACTTTTATTTCAAACATTTATTTTTCAGTAGTTTTAGTTATTGATTTTAAAATTAAATAATTTTTTTTATCTAATTTCCTTTTTTTTTGTGTATAAATTTTTTAATAGTAATTTTTAAAAAATATATTAATTTTTTTCAATAATAATGTAGAAAAAAATGTTGCTTTCAGGAATGTCAACTGTTCATGAAGTTATTACTGCCAGACATTGTGACCTGACCGTTTTTACATTTAGTCTTATAACGAATATTTGTGTGACGGATTACAATGATCATAGCGAGGCAAATCACGAGGAAGTTATAGATGTTGGCAAAAGTAGACAACCTGTACTTCGAGACTTTGTTCGACGAATGGTTCTTCGTTTGGATGATATTATAAAGAGCAATTCAAAATAGAATTTTATTCTATAGGTCATAAATCTCCGTTATTAGTGTCAATTTTCATGTACTTTTCTCGAATCTTTGACTACAAAAAATAGAAAAGAAAAAAAATTCCAGTAAATCGAAATAAAAAAAAAGATCTTTGAATCTTCACCGTGAATGAAACAGCGCTTATTTAAATCGATTTCTACATAATAGGTATTTATAAACTTGTTTGTTCTCACAGTTCCTCTAATTTTTTTTTTTTTTTTTTTTTTATTTAGAAAAATCTATCCTCTCGAGTTAATAAAGAAATCGGTCAATTAATCATCTAAGTGTCTTAAATATTTCAAAAGCAACTGGAATTGCAGAAAGAAAAGAAAAATCTTGTTTATTGAGCATAAAGTATAATATAATTGAAGTAAATAATTAAAATTCATTTTAATTGAATTTTATGAGATAAAAAATAATTATTCCTTTACTATGTCAGAGGATAATTTAAAATCTTGACATTATACATGAACAAATATTTTGGTTGATAAAAAATTACAAAAAGAAATTGCTATTAAAAAATCGATTTAACTGAAATAATTAAAAAAAATTTTTATTATTATATCTATAATAAGAGAAAAATTAACTTTCAATATGAATGTTAAAATGAATGAATAAAGAAAAGGAAACAAAAATTTGTTATTTTCGAATTAAAAGAAAACAAATTGTACTAATATTAGATTTGAAAAAGAAAAATGAAACGCAAAGTTTGAAATGTAATGTAAAGTCTAACATATTTGAAAAATTACAAGGGGAAAAGAAAGTTTAGAAAAAGAAAAGCTTAAGAGCAGTTAAAAAGTAATGGAGTAAAAGGGAAGAGGTGCTCGTATATGGGGAAATTTCCCAGTCGTGACACGTACTTGCAAAAGGCTCAGACTTTTATGTGTTCCTTTCTGAACCGTCTGACGTTTCAGACTGTTGAAAATGAACACTATTCTCAACTTTCGAGTGCAAAGAAATTTTCAGCCACTCAACATTTTTCCCCATATCAGCAACTAGCGGGGGGAAAAAAAATGAATGTCTTTTTATCTTTCTTGACATATTGCAGAAAAATTCAAAATATATATCTAAATGCAAGTACTGTAAACTGTGACCAATTTTTATTTATTAAAAATTTCATTTATTAAATACAAAATGTTATTGCGCTTAAAATAAATATAAGTATTAATTTCACATAATAACAAAACAAAATATTTATATAATATGCACTTATTTTATTTAACTTTTTACTTTAGAACTTATATATTTTATGTTAGACTATAGATATAAATATACGTATGTTGTATTTTTTCATAAAATTTAAGTTTCATAAAATAAAATTTCACTCTACGCAAATTTATTTTGTATTAATATAACACTTTCTAATTGAAAAAAAACAATCAGTTTTTAAACATTTCACTCACTGGTATATTTGTCTCCGAGCCTACTAACCCATTTATTTGTTGCAAATATATTTTATTTCATTTAAATAAAATTATTTGAACCAAAGAAAAATTTATTTATGACAAATAAAATTTTTGTTTACGTCAAATAAATAAGTTAGTAGGCTCTGAGACAAATATACGTTTATTTAATTCAAGTATATTTTATTTGATTCTAATAAATCATTTCTCTGAATGATTAAAATGGCAAAATTGGAATTTTGTTATCTAGCAATAAAAACAAAAAATGAATTAAATTTTGAAAAATCATTAAATATGATATAATAATTAACTTTGAACATTTTGAATTTATATAGTTATTATTATTGTTATTATATGTATATTCATTAGTAATATTAATTTGTTAAAGTTCTCGAAATATTCAGAGAAACGTAAATCAGTGATATCATATAAATTATAATAATTTGATTAATTTTTTTTTTATATTTTTCCAATAAAATATAAAAATTCATTTATTAATTGATAATAATGGATATATGAAATTAAATTAATTTTATGAAATATTTAAAGTAAAAAACCATTTTTCTCCTTTTTTTTCTTTTTTGCTTTTTAGTGTTCTGAATTGATTTGTCACAGGTTCTCATGGAAGGATATCGGAGGCCGAGTAACTGCGCGAAGGAGGGTTATATCTTGCTCCTCATTCCAGCTTCAATTTCGCTCCTTTCGCTTCGTTACTTTCATCTCGTTTCCGCGCTTTTCCATCGTTAATGCATCGACCTTCGCCTTCGATAAATCCCCCGTTCAGCAGCCTCGAGGAACCATACGGACGATTTCGTAGTCTCTCACTCCTCCTTTAAAATCTTCTCCCCATTATTACCCTCCTGAATTAAATTATGATTTGACAGGTAGGAAAACTTAGAGCTTTGCGCACGACAAAGAGAATAAAATGAGAGAAGATTCACTTCGAGATTTTCACAGGAAATCGTCTCATTAGGAATGGTTCGTGAAAAAGAGGAAATAATCGTTTTGTCCTATCGCCGGAAGTGGTAGTATTGCGCAAAGGGTTTAGACGCTGAAAAATTGCCTCTTTTGTTTCTCTTTGCACGCAAACTACTGCGACAAAAAAAAAAAAAAAAAAAGGTAACGAGAGAAAAGAATATTCTAAAATATTCTTTAAGTTTTTTTTCTTGCATTACGCTATTTTGTTTTGTATGTACTTTATTTTATTTATTTTAGAAAAAGAAAAAAATTTTTTTTTAGAAATTTTCAAAAAATGAAAGTTTGATAATTTTTATTTTTTCTTGCAATTATAAGAAGTTAGGTTTATGCAGAATTTCTAAAAATGTCTCTAATAATATATATATATGAAAATAGAAAATATTTACTCAGTAATAGCCTACAATAATATTATGGGGTAAATTTCTCACCTCGAGTTGATTTTTAAAACTTTTCATTTTAACTTTTATCTGTTTTTCTTTTTCTATAGTTTCATTATTTTCCGTTGCACTCAAAAACCCATTTATATTAATTATATTGTACGGAAATATTTAACTTCCAATTACTTTTCCAATAGTTTCATTATTTATTTTATTTTAATTTAATTTAATTTTTGTTTTTTGAAACACAAATCTGGATCCTAGTTTTCTTGAGATGTGGATATTTAAAGAACGATATCACGAGATCTAAAAAAGTCTCCAGGATGAATTTTTTTTTAAATTAAAGATAAAATAAAAAGGAATATTATTAAAAAATTAAAAATTAAAAAAAAGATGTCGAAATTGAAAAAAAATCTATAAGAAATTTTGTTTTTTACTTTTTTCTATTTAAATAACAAAATTTTATTTTTATTTTAAAATTTTCTGAAAAAAATCGTTTTTGATTCATCAAAATCGGTTGAAAATTGACCGAGATATAAAGGAAAGAAAAAAATGCAGTATCAAAATTAAAAGTGATATAACTCCTACAATTTTAGATATTTTAAAAATTCCTTTTACTTACACATTGCTCTTATATAAAGCTATAATTTTACCAAGTATCATTAAAATCGAAGAACCACTTGCAGATTCTGATATTTCCGACGTGGACTTACCCATATAATAAATAAATTTACATTTAAAACCGTTTTATCATAATAATTATTTAAAACTACACTACATATTACAATTTTCAAAATAGTAATTATAATATAGAAATTTTGAATTATCGCCTAATGGAAGATTTTCATTTTTTCACATAAGACAGTGATGTATATCGGGTTGCCTAATGTACAGCGGTACAAATAGGAATATTTTTAATAAAAAGACATTATTATGATATTAATATTAAAAAAAAAGAATAAAAAAGAAAAATTAAAACTATTTTTTTAATTAATCTCACATAATTAACGTTATTAATTATATTGCAAGTAAGATAAAAACTTTCAAATTTCAAAATGTACAAACAAGGTGAAACCAGTTCATAAATGGTAATCCACTAATTTAATGTTTAGTTGGCGATTTTCATTAGAAATTTTTATAATTATAACAAGAATTAATAAAGAATTATAAGAAAACAATAAAGGAATAATTAAACTATTTGAAAATAATAATAAAAAGACAAAAAATTTCATCCCTCTCTATTTAAATCGATATGGTAGAGGTGGTAAAGAAAGTTTCACGTTTTCCCGTATGGAGCGTTACTGTACGGCACAACCCCCTCCAATTCTTGAAGTTTAAGTAGAGCCGCCAGTTTAGTTTCAGTGTATCTCGTGCTCTCGTGTTAGTTGTTTGTGCTGAATATTATCATTTTTAATCGCGTTTATAAACCACATTCCTGTCATTAGCCGGTGATGTGACCGGCATTGAAAAGTGTCGTGTATTATAAAAATTTTCGGACACAAATGTCCTTTTAATTCAAGTCAATAGAATTTATCTCCTTCTTTTTTTCATGTGAAACAAGTTTTTAAAGACAGGTGCAACTTTACCTTTGCAGTGTGTCAAAGACACGCGAGTTCTCTTGGAAAAGTGAAACTCTCTCGCGGAGATTTAAAATCAGCCAAATATATGTACCTTCACTCATGACTGGGAAGTGAGACAAACATAAATAATAACCACAAGGTGAAATTCATACTGTTTCAATCCTCTTCTTTTTTTTTTTTAAACATTCATTCATTTGGAGTTTTCATTCGTTCCACTTATATGTGAAAAAAGAAAGTTTCAATAAAAACGTGGGATGAACATATGAAGTCTTGACAATTTAAATGGAAATAATAGAGATTTGTCAACAGTGTTGTTTTGCCGCCAAACGATAACAACTAACCTTAAAAATTCGGAGCCTACAAAATGTTTTTCATTTGGCGCGATATTACGATATAACGTGTTATGACTGAGTGTAATGAAGTTTTGTATACAAAGCTTTAGTGTTTTAGTAAACGTGGGGGTGTGACCGGAAATAAGTGCGTGGGAGTGATAAAAAATTAACGATTAATAATAATTTGGTGGCTGTATATCAGCCAATTATAAAGAATCAGTGTTGAGATTTATTGTAACATTTTGTATTTTGCTATATCGGAGCAAAAAAAAGTGTTGAACCGAAACAAGTGAATTTGTTACATTTGGATGATAATTGTTAATTGGGAGAAATGTCACGAAAATTGAAGGAAGAAACAGTGACATGTTATGTCATTGGCTGGAAACTTGACCGTGGAGCTTGTTGATTTCTTGAATCAATGATCTGAGAGAAATTTAGTAAACGTGCAGTCGAACACGAGAGAGGAAGAAGGATAACCTCTCTCTCTCTCTTTCATCTCCACTGCTAAGCGGAAGTCATATGCTCATACACGCACGTAAAACGGTGAGTTATAAAAAGGTATGAACCCCAGGAATCCTTCTTTTGTGTTGAATTCTGAAATTTACGTTCCTCGACTTCCTTTTTCCGGTCGTTTATTATGTGATTCAAATTTTAAATGCCCATATTAACATTTCATTGCATGTAATATTGTTTTGATTTAGATATGAATATATATGATAAGATCTATATTTAATTTATGGAATTCAATGTCCTTGAAATTCAAATTCTGACGTGAATAAGTTTTGTTTCTTTAATACATTGTTATTAAAATATATAAAAATATTAAATTTAATTTTTTTATACCACGTAATATTTAAGAATATTTTTTTTATTAATCTACATTATTTCCATAATTTTCTATATTGAAATATACAGATGAGTCTGAAAATATTTTAATGAACTTTTATGATTACAATAGTCACTGAATTAAAGGTAATTTTTATATGAGCCAAAAGTTTTGAACGTTCATATGAACGAAATTCTTTTTTGCAACTTCTTTAAGTACGAATTTTACTACAAAATGTTGTTTTAAATATCTAAAAAGAAGTTATTTAATTTAATAATTGTTTAATTTACTGTTTTATTTTACATTGACCATCATAATTTTTAATAATTTATGGATTGAAAAAAATATTTCGTTCATTTGAACGTTCAAAACTTTTGGCTCATATTTTTATTTATATAGTAAAATGTTTAATTAATCACGAAGCTGAAGTACGCAACGTTTATATAAACGATTTTTAAAGAAATAATTTTTTAACATAATAAAAAAAAGTCGCGCACGTTTTAAAATAATATTTATTTAATTTCTATTTTAAAAAAATGTCTAATATAGTATGTGAAGGAGGAAAAATTATTCTTTTGTGCATAAGAAATAAATTTCAAAGGGTTAAATTAAAATTGTTACAAGGAGCTTTTTTATAGCTTCCGAAATGATTTTTCTTTTACATTTTATAATCGTTATACTTAAATTTTTTTCACGTTTCAATACATTAAAATATAAATATTTCAATTCTACATCTAAATGGATGAAAGAGAACTGTTTAAATATTGAAATAATCATAAATCTACGTTGAATGCACTCATAAATGTTCACTTAAAACAGATGAAACTCTATTACATTACATATATATAGTTTATGAGAATGTTTTATATATTTTAAAGGCAAAATAAATTGTGCGTTTTATCATTTCCAGTCTATTGAATAGTATATAGGATTTAGTAGCTTTAAACGTTTAATACTTGGGGTTTATTTTATGAGCAATTTTTTTTTACAAAAGAATTTTGTATATATGATTTTTTTTATCAGCTCATCATCAACTGTACACTGAAAAAAAAATTTATTTGATTCAAATACCGGTGTATTTGGTTATTATCAAATAAATATTTACTTGAATCAAATAAATGGTATTTGCTTCAAATACTGAAATATTTGATTCAAGTAAATACTTATTTGATAATAACCAAATACACCGGTATTTGAATCAAATAAATTTTTTTTTCAGTGTATATATATATATAAAATAATGGACTTTAAATATTTATTACATTATTGAGATTTTTCTCGTATTTTTTTTTAATAATTTAAATTTTGAAATTTTGTTCATTGAATTTTATAATATCGAAATTGATAGTTTATTCTGATACGTGAATATATTTGCGCAGAAATATATTGCGTATAATGAACTCTAATTTTGGAATAGAATATGATTATTATTATCTTTGATTTTGGATATTAAAACCCTCTATGATGATAGTTATAAGCTTTAATCTATTAAATTTATCATGGTAAATCCCATAAAATTTATATTAATCAAATAAATTTTTTATTGCTTTCTGATATTAGAGGAGGAATAATTTTGTCGATGAAGTTCACATTGTTTATGATCAACGATGTAAAAGAAAAAAAATATTTTTATTAATTAATTATTTTTCTTGTTTAATTTATAATAATAATATTATTAATATAAAGTAGCATATTTTATAAAAATTGATTTAATGCCATCCGGGAAAAATCCCTAACCTAAAAGTGTTTTCCCTTGCGAGATATTACTCGTAAATAACTTGAAATATCTTGTTCGTATTTGTCGGATTAATTAGATGAGGGCTCGCTGATTAAGAATCATCTCCATTTTTACAAGTAATTTTGTTGAAAAGTATTGAAAATCGTGGTTATAAAAGTTGGATTTTTGACAGAAGTGGGGACAGACATTGAATGGTGGCGCCAATTCTAGCTAGTGGCCGCTGCTGAACTAACTTACCCCAAATTACTCCACTTTAAATCTTTAATAAAATAATTTCCTCACAATATTATTGCAAAAATGGAGAAGAGTGATGAACTCAGTGACCCTTCCTCTATTATTCCTCCAAATGCCAACTCGAAATACTTTATTCTTTAAAGATGAGAAGAAATTTACGAAACCCCTTTTTGACAATGTTTAAACATTTTTTTTAATAATTATTTATCAAGATTATGCAAATTTACAACCTAAAATATTCTATTTTTTTCAAATGAGAAGAAATCTACAAAACCATTATTTTCTCCCGGATGCCCTAAATTAATGACACTGAAGTTACCAACGTTGAATCGACGAAAAGAATTTTCTTTTTCCTAAGATTGAATATTTCCTCGCCTTAATTGAGAATTTTTAGTATTTAAGAATGTATTCGGGACCAAAATAAAGAAGTTTCAATTAAAAAAAATTGGTCCTTGGCCTTTAAACTAATCTGAAAACGAAAAATTCGTTCGTCGATTCGTCGAATCAACGTTGGTAACTTCAGCGTCATCTAAATTAGAAATAGAGGTAAAAATTGCGTGTAATAAAATGATCCCAATTTATTTATTTTTTTTTTATTTTATGAAAAAGAATTTTTATTATAGCAATTTTAATTTTATTAACTCATTTATTACTCTTTTAATAATTTAATATGATTTTTATAAACTGAAATAATGGTTCAATGTGTAAAAAAAATGATGTAGAGATTATTATTTAGTTTGTTTATAATGGAAAAAGTTTAGAATTGGTTGCATGACTTAATACTTTTAAATAACCCCTCAACAAAATAAAGGTTTTTCATTCTAGTTTGCGACCCCGTTAGGGCCCCTCCTCTTCTTATTTACTTCCATTACTTGAGGTAGGTCGTGCCTTGGTTCCGCATGAGATGCCTTCGTTAAAAACATACACGTACAGCCTGGTGGATAACGAGGTGATAAATGTACGCCGAGTTTCATTCTTTCTAAGTACACTGAGCCGACAAAGAATTAAGGAATGCGAATTATTAAATTATGCGAGATTAAGAAAAAGAAAGAAAAAAACTCCATTCGTTTAGATTTACTTCTTTCCACTATATTATCATACGTAATGTTTTTTTTTTATCAGGAACGAATTTGAATAACGAGAAATTCGAAAAACAAAATTTTCAAACACAGTAATATTTGTTAACTTAAAAAAATACTATTGGATCATTTCATTTTATTTCACCTATAGTTGTTGCGGCCTAATTTTAGATGAGACAAAAGTTCTGAACGTTCATATGAACGAAATATTTTTTTCAATCTATAAATTATTAAAAATTATGATGTCAATGTAAAATAAAACAGTAAATTAAACAATTATTAAAATAATAATAATTTCTTTTTAGATATTTAAAACAAAATTTTGTAATAAAATTCGTATTTAAAGAAGTTGCAAATAAAAATTTCGTTCATTTGAACGTTCAAAACTTTTGGCTCATAATTTTAGAAAAATTTGATATTTTGTATTAATGACTTTTAATATCCGTACAATTCATTTTTGACAATTATTTTATGAAATTTTTTTTTATTTAAGTTTTTAAGTTGAGTTGAACGGAAAATAGGTTAGTTTGACAGTTTTGGAAATTTTATTAAAAAAAATGAAATAATTCAGTTAGTAAATTTTTTTCATTGATATTTGTTGAAAAAAGTCTAATTTACCAATGTTAATTGATAATTGTGTAAAGAAAGCCAAAATACTACGTGAAAATTAATATTCAAACTTACCTGTAAAATGTCAAAATTTGTCACATTTTATTTATATTTCCCAGGAAAGTTTATAAATATTATAAATTTATTATTATAAAATTCATACAAATAAATTTATATTGAGAAAACCAACTTCAGTTTTATAAAAATACTTGTTTTTTAACCTTTAAATTCGTATTTTAAGGTAAATTTTTTAAAGTGAATAAAAATAAAAAGTAGCTCGTTCTCCATCACCAAATTTTGATAAGATGAATAAAGATAAAATCCTGAAAAGTTCAATATTCAAGGTAAAATTTCTCATATATTTCTATATTATAAAAATAAAAAGCCAACATATCATGTGAAAGTAGATGAAAAGTACTTATTGTTAGGTAGTAATAAATTTTTAATATTTATAAACTTTCTTGGGAAATATAAATAAAATGTGACAAATTTTGACATTTTACAGGTAAGTTTGAATATTTATTTTCACGTAGTATTTTGGCTTTCTTTACATAATTATCAATTAACATTGGTAAATTAGACTTTTTTCAACAAATATCAATGAAAAAAATTTACTAACTGAATTATTTCTTTTTTTAAAATAAAATTTCCAAAACTGTCAAACTAACTTATTTTTCGTTCAACTCAACTTAAAAACTAAATTTCAACATAAATAAAAAAAAAAATTCATAAAATAATTGTCAAAAATGAATTGTACGGATATTGAAAGTAATTAATACAAAATATCAAATTTTTCTAAAATTAGGCCGCAACGACTATAGGTGAAATAAAATGGAATGACCCTATTTTTTATATTATTATTTTTGTCAAATAATTATTAAAAATAATTTTATTTTGTTAGGAAGAAACTATAATGATAACTAAATAAATTAGGTAGGATATATTATCCAAATTTTTTTTATCTAGAAGTACATTTTAATATATTGCAAATGCAATACATTGCAGTAAAAAGTTTATTTTCCCCAGCAATTTCTTTTTCCTTATACTCATTTGTTATTCAAATTATTCCTGC